TATATTCATACACATCTACCCTTATGCAAACACACACACACACACACACACACACACACACACACACACACACACGACGTGTAAAATGTGCCACTCACCCAGAACTCTCCAAAGTCACTGATACACATGTCCAGGACCCCTCGGATGAGCCTGCAAGCTCCAGACCCTACAGCTGCCATGCTGCAGGACGTGGGGGAAGGGCACATGTGAGGACGCAGGTCCCGCTGCCCAACCCCCACCTTGGTGCCCTTTTTTTTTTTTTTTTTTTTTTTGAGGCAGCTGCCTGCTGGAGGGGTCTCCTCCCCAACCCGAGTCTAGTTTTCTTGATCCCTTCAGGACTGATTTGAAAGGTGTAGTTTGACCACAGCATTGAGTATAGTGGAGATGAGTGCCAGAACGCACACGGGGTACTCTGGGTGGGAGCATTTGACCACTTCCGTGACACAGGTTGTAGCCCACGGTGAAGTCTCTATGAGAGACAATTGGTCGAGAAGAGCCACCGCAGGCTATGAGGGCATGCAGCTGGCTTGCCAGACCTGTCACCGGCTGCAGCATGGTAATGGCCCTGTGGTGTGGGAGAAGCAGGGTAATCAAGTGGAGCCTCTCATGCTCCTAGCCCTGCCTCGTAGCAAGGAATACTCTGTGGTTGCTGGGCAACAACACTCTGGTCACCTAGCAACAGCTCTGCAGCCTAGCATTCTGCTTGGGCCACATCTCATACCTCAGCCCTGCCCCCCTCATCTCCTGCCTCCTCCCGCTCACCCAGGCTTCTTTCCAACCTTCCAATGCACCTCCCCCACAGCTTCTTCGTCATCCCCCATCCAGAGAGGGCTGAGGGAGGAGGGCCCTGCACCCTGGCTCCTCACCTCCAACCCAAACGGAGCACACAGCACTTCTGCCCCTTCTCCCCTCTGGCCCGGGCAGGAGCTGGCGCAGCATACGGTGGGTGTCCTTGCCTTTGAGTTCTGAAAGAATCCATTCTCCCTGCTACTGACAATCCAGAGGCTCCGGCTCCGGGAGGGGCTTTCTCTGCCCAGAGGGAGCTGAGGAAATGCTGTTCAGAGGCAAAGTTAGGCTGGGGTAGAACAATCAGCTTTGTGACCTTTTGGCTTCATCTCTTGCCGGCATCCCTTGGGCAGGCAGAGCTTCCGAGTTTCCACTGGAAAGGAGTCCTGGGTCTCCATTTTGACATGGCCTGCCTCTTGTCCTATCTTGACATTCAAGATACTTTGATAGTTTGTGGTTACCGACCAAGAACACAAGCCTGGGCCTGGAGAGGTGGCTTGGTGGTTAAGAGCCCTGGCTGCTCTTCTAGAGGACCTGGGTTCAATTCCCATCACCCACATGGCGCCTCACATCTGTCTGTAACTCCAGTTCCAGGGCTTCTGACACCCTCACACAGATATACACACAGGCAAAACACTAATGCAAATAAAATAAAAATTAAAAAAAAAAAAAAAACCAAAACACAAATCCCACAGGTTCAGCATCAGTGACCTCTGACCTATGCCATCTCTCCCAGGGTACTTACTTCCCTCTGCTAGGAACACTAACAAAAACCAACCTTCATTTCCTCCCTTCCCCACATCAGCACCTAATACTGATTGGTGATCAAAGGATTAATGAAGAACCAGCCTTCCAGAGCGGCCCGAGGGCACCACATTTACCCACTCTCTGCACCTGGCATACTCTGCCCTTCTTATCAAGACACAAGGGGGCAAAGAGGGAGCAGAGGAAGACTCACAGGGCATTGGTGACATCCTTAGGCAAGCTGGAGCAACTGGGGATCTGCTACTGAATGACCTTGGCTGCTAGGTCATGGGTCAGCAAGCAGGCGGGATACATCTCTGGGTGCCCCGTGTGCGTGGAGTGGAGCAGTCCATGGCTTGGGGAATGGTCATGCACTGTGTTGGGCCCCAGGTGCCATGTCACCACCAATGTCTACAGACACCAGAGCCCCCTCTCATCAGTTCCCTTTGTCCTGGTCTTAATGAGCTGAGGTTAAGAGCTTTCTGTTGTTGTTTTGATTTTTTGAGACAGGGGGTCTCTGTGTAGCTCTGGCTGTCCTGGAACTCGCTTTGTAGACCAGGCTGGCCTCAAACTCACAGAGATTCACTTGCCTCTGTCTCCTGAGTGATGAGATTAAAGGCATTCGCCACCACTGCCTGGCTGAGGTTAAGGGCTTTTAAGGGCTATGCCCACCCAGAAAGTTCTGAGGGTATTTGCAAAGCTCACAGATGCCTGCACCTACCTAATTAGGACCCAACATACTGACTTAGCTGTTTGCTTGTTCCGTTTTGTTTTGTCTGAGACAGGGTCTCATGTAGCTCAGGCTGGCCTTGAACTTGCTATGTGGCAGAAGGTGACCTTGAACTTCAGATCTTCCTCTTCCTCCTCCCAAGGAGTGTAGGTGTGTACCTCCGTACCCAGTTTTATGTGGTGCTGGGGATCCAATCCAGTACTTCATTAACAAGGGGGGGGGGGGCTAGAATTAGCTTCACTGGGCTTGGCTTGCATATTCCTTGTACCTAATAAAGAAATCTGGGCCTGTGTTGTCTACTTCAGGCCCCCTTTTCCTTTTTATTTATCTGTCTTTAGCAACCACCAGGTGATAACTGATGCAATTGGGCCTGCCCCACTGTTCAGCAGCGCTGTCTCCCAGTGTTTGCTCAGGTCCCTCCTGGGGTCCTGCAGGTTAGGGGGGGGGGGTCTTTGTCCTTTTCTGTCTTCAATGTTACAACATCTGGGGTCCCAACACCTACCCTTGAAAGCTGACTCTGATTGCCAATCTGGTTCTGGGTATAACATCTGGGGGGCCCTCCGCAAAGTGCTTGGGTTCTTCAAGTATTGGAGAGGTAACAGGGCCCGGCTTCTGATATGAGTGGAGAGATTCAAGAGCTGTAAGGAATGCTCAGAGCATTGGTGGCAGAGTGTGATCAGCTGTGGTCATTAGTAAAACTGGCTCCCATCCTTGCTGTAGGGATCCTTGCTGTAGGGATCCTTGCTGTAGGGATCCTTGCTGTAGGGATCCTTGCTGTAGGGATCCTTACTGTAGGGCCGGTGTCCTTCTTGGCCATGACTGCTTTGTCAGGCTAGAAGTAGGACTGGGAGAAATGGCCAGCTGCTCTGCAGGAGGTGGTACAGCTCTTTTCCCTGCTGGCTTCCTGTCTCTCAAGGAATTCTTTCCTTTAAAAAAAAAAAAAGTTGTGGCGGCCACAGGACTCCTGGAAGCACCTGTGCCGTGAGATGTGGGCTGTCCACATTTGAGGCTAGGGTCTAGCTCTTTCAGGCCACCTGCCAGCTGTGGCTGGTATGTGGACGTGTAACCACAGAGCAAAGTCTCAGGCCAACAGTCTTTCCTCGAGGCATAGAGAACTGGAGCATGCGAAGTGAGTCCCACTCACTTCCCAGTACTGGGTAACTCAGCCTCTGGCATACAGACAGCAACCACTTGTGCGGGAGAACAAGGGGGGGCCCTTGGATCTGCCTAAAGCAGCGGTTCTCAACCCGTAGGTCATGGCCCTTAACCATTAGAAACATCAGATATTTGTATTACTATTCATAAGAGTAGCAAAGTTACAGTTATAAGGAAGAAAGGAAAATAACTTTAGGTTGGGGGTCACCATGACATGAGGAACTGTATTAAAGGGCCACAGCGTTAGGAAGGTTGAGAACCACTGCCCTAGAGTATTGGATTTCAGCAATGCTGAAAGGAAAACTGAAAATAAGAACCACCCGCTATCTCTCTGACCTTTAAAATATAAATACAGCCAGGTGTGCCAGGTGTGGTGGCACACACCTTTAGTCCCAGCACTCGGGAGACAGAGGCAGGCAGATCTCTGTGAGTTTGAGGCCAGCCTGGTCTACATACCAAGCCAGCTAGGGCTATATAGTGTGACCATGTCTCAAAAAAACAACTTCCCTTTGTACACATACACCCAGGAAGAAGCCAGGTTAAGTATGGTGATACACACCTGTAATCCTAGCACTTAGGAGGTCAAGGCAGAGGGATCAGGAGTTCAAGGACATCCTTGGCTACATAGCAAGTTCGAGGTCATCCTGGACTCAGACTCTGTCTGAAACAATAGCAACCACAACAAAAAAGCTGCCTGGGCTCAAGTGCAGACGACAGGATCGTGGCTAAGTGCACTGAGAACAACGAAACTTTTGGTAAATATGGGCTCTGCTATGATGCCACTCCAGCCAATACTGACAACATTGAAATCAGCCAGCACCCAAGAATACTTGCTCCTTCTGTGGCACAACCAAGATAAAGAAATGGATGTGGGCATCTGGCACTGTGGTTGCTGCATGGAAACAGTGGTTGGCAGGGCCTTGGCCTACATACACCGCCACTTCTTTTGTGGTCCTGTCAGCCACCAGAAGACCAAAGGACTAGAGAGATCAGTAGACATGCTACCATTTGAGACATCCCTAGCCTGCAGTAAATTTATGTTTAAAAAAAACAAGAAAGAGGTCAACCCTCTGCCGTTCAGTTCACCCGGTGGCTTTTGGTTTCATGCTGAGGCAGATCAGTTGTCTTATCTTAGCCCCAGCTCACTCCCATGAGCCCCCCCCCTTGAAAAATGTGTGTTGTTACCAGTGAGACAGGACAAGAGACCCCCGCATCCCAAACACTAGTAAAAACCTTGCAGGGCAACTCAACCTTAAGATATAGTCTTGCCAGGTGCACATACCCTTAGTCCCAGCACTTGGGAGGCAGAGGCAGGTAGATCTCTGAGTTCGAGGCCAGCCTGGTCTACAGAGAGAGTTCCAGGCCTGCCAGGGCTGCACATTAAGAACTTGTTCTCAAAAAAAAAAAAAAAAAAACCAACAGCAAAAGTCCAGGGTGGATGTAAATGGATACGTAAAGTCCTCCAGCTCTGATGGCCACCAAGGCACAGAAAATACCCAAGAATCTTGGCGGGGGGTGGGGGGAAGTACTTGGTGCCTAGTACTTCAACTCAGTCATCGGCATCACGTGCCCCCTCTTCTGGCAGAAATCCCGGGCTTCCTGAGTGATGAGGAGTGTCGGCTCATCATCCACCTGGCACAGATGAAGGGCTTACAGCGAAGCCAGATCCTGCCCACTGAAGAGTACGAGGAGGCAATGAGCACCATGCAGCTCAGCCAAGTGGACCTCTTCCAGCTGTTGGATCAGAACCATGATGGTCGCCTGCAGCTCCGAGAGGTTAGGAACCCGGGTCTGATGTGTACAGGAGAGAATACACAGAATTACCTTCCAAGTTGCCAGGCCGCTGTGTAGGTTAACGCTGGCCTCTGCAGTCAAATGCTACCCCAGGCTTGCTTGGGCATGCCCAGGCCCCAGGGTCTATCCTCCTTTCTCCTCTGAGAGTCCCTTACTGCCCTAGAGACCCAGGCTGGCAAGAACGTCCCTTTGTGGGGAGGCATTTATCTATCACTAGTTCCTCGCTACTGTGTCTAAAGATGGCGGTGGGACAGAAGTTCTGAGGTGTCCGTCAGCTTGCATCTCCCCTGCATACCCTTCACACAAGGACTTTTGAGAGAAGAGCTTGGCAGGGTGTGGTCCACTTCTCACACTGAACCTGCTTTGCGTGAGGGTCCTGGTAGTTAGGTCCCAGCCGGATGTCCTGCTTCCTGTCCTGTCTTCATAACCAGGCCTTTGCCTCCCCTGCCCTCACCTGGAGTATCTGAGGGTGGCATAGGTCTGCTGTCATTCTGCCCCCAACCACTTAACAGCGGGTCCAGGAATTAGCCCTCCGGCATGTGTGCCTCCTCTCTGGCTTCCTTCAGAGATGTAGTAGGACTTCCACTCACCCTCACCTCTGCACAGAGACCTTGCGTTATCCTGTGTCCTCACCCACGCCCCATCATTGAAGCCTTTAGCTCTATAACAAGACTTGTAAAGCCTCATCTGTTCTGGTGATCTGTGACTAGTCGGGGAAACTCTACCATTGAAAGTAGGGAAACTGAAGGGCCTTCCTGTGCTTTAGGTCCTAGCCCAGACTCGCCTAGGAAATGGACGCTGGATGACTCCAGAGAACATTCAGGAGATGTACTCTGCGATCAAGGCAGACCCTGATGGTGATGGTGAGCTCACACCCTCCACAGTTCTGTGCTTGTGAGCTGTGTCTTCCTCCCAGGAGCATGCCCCGGAAGGCTTGGGCCCTTCTCTTGCCTGCAGGCAGCTTCCACACCCTGCTTTTAAAGTGGACAGAGGGAGGGAGGGGAGGGTCCAGCTTTGCTGTAACCCCTGGGAAGCAGGTGGACAGCCAGACCCCCTCACTCTCCTTGGTGGCAGTCTACATGACAGTCTCCTGGAGATCCTTTTGGCTGTATCAGCAGCATCTAGCAAACCCTGAGTGAAGAATTTAGTCGGATTGTGTGGCTGAAGGGCTGCTATACTCTTAAATATGATGTCAGGCTCACCATCCTCACCTTTAGTGGAATCTGGGTTGTCAGAATAACAGCACAGCCACCAGCTCTTCCAGAGCCCTGGATGAGGTACCCCTGCTTAGGGGGCTGGGCAGGAACAGAGGAGTCTGTTCTCATCTGGGGGGTGGGTCAGGATTTCTTTGCTAGGGTGACTGGTATTGTAGCAGGAAGGACTGGCCAACAGGGTTCCACCCAGGATGGGACTTGAGGGAACCTCTGGGAACTAGCCCTGCTTTCACACTACAGTGTGGAAGGTCCTGGAGGATACTCAGCCCAGGCCATTCTCTCTCCTTGCCCTCTATAGGTTGGAGCATCCTCACACTCCTGCTGGGCAGGCTGCAGAGCCTGGGGCCATCCTGGCCATATGGCTCAAGTGTATTATGGAGACCCTATGCCGGTCTCTAGTAGGGTTGGGCTCCTTCCTTTTCGGGACCAAATCAAGGCTTAAACAGAAAACAAACTTCTCTGGGTCTTCCCTCAGGGCCCGATGTGACAGAAACCAGGTTCATCTGACCCGAGTCCAGGTGGGGACAAGTGCACATGGCCCCCCAGTGCCTGAGGCCAGGGGCTGCTGCTACCTTTGGGGTAGGTAGGGAGGTGCTGCCTGCCGCTGGGCCTGCTCCACAGGGCCTGGCAGGCACTGATGAGCTAACCCTGCGCAGGGGTGCTGAGCCTGCAGGAGTTTTCCAATGTGGACCTTCGAGACTTCCACAAGTACATGAGGAGCCACAAGGCGGAGTCCAACGAGCTGGTGAGGAACAGCCACCACACATGGCTCCACCAGGGAGAGGGTGCTCACCATGTCATGCGTGCCGTCCGCCAGAGGTGAGCATCGACGATCATCCTTCTGGGGCAGGGTCTACACAAGTCCAAAGGAATGGAACTGATGAAGTAAATTAGGATTAAATTCCAATTGTTAGAACAGGAGTCTGACCCACTGAAAAACAGTTGTCTAACAAAGGTACGTTAGTCCTCCTTTGTGGGCAAACAACTTGTATTAGAAATACATCAAATGTTCATTTTCGCCAGGCGGTGGTGGCGCACACCTTTAATCCCAGCACTCCGGAGGCAGAGCCAGGCGGATCTCTGTGATCCAGCCTGGGCTACAGAGTGAGATCCAGGACAGGCGCAAAGTTATACAGAGAAGCCCTGTCTCAAAAAAACAAACAAACAAACAAAAAAAAAAAACAACTTTCTGTTACCTAGGAAAATGAGGAGTTATTTCTGCTCAGAAAAGCCCCCCTCCTTGAACAGACAGGCTTCATAAGCCGGGTTGGTGCCTCACACCTGTGGTGCTGCAGTCTGAAGCCAAGGCCTGGACTTGAAAGTGAAACTGTCTCAAAAAGCCCAGAAAGATGAGGCTAAGATGGCTGGCCAAGGGCTTGCCAGGAACACAAAAAGGAAAGTTTGGTCCCAGACTGCATAAAACCAGACATTGCTGTGAATATCTACAATTCCAGAATTTGGGAGGGGGAGGCAGAAGCATCAGGAGCTTAAGATTGTTCTAGGCTACAGAGTTCCAGGCCGACACTGGGCTGCATCAGACCCCATCTAAAAAATAACAAAGAAAACAAAAAAATAAAAACAGGTTTTGAATGAACAACCTTATTCTAGAGAGGAGAGTTGAGAGTCTGACTTAACAGCCATCTCATTTTCCCTATTAATTGAATATCTCTATGTCTGGCAGCCTGGGATGCTAAGAGCTCATCACCACCACCACAGACCCTTTGTGCGTTCTCTCTCTCTCTCTCTCTCTCTGTGTGTGTGTGTGTGTGTGTGTGTGTGTATGTGTGTGTGTGTGTGTGTAGTGTCTCATGTATCCCAGACTCACCTCAAATCATCTATCTAGCCAAGGATAACCTTGAACTTCTGATCTTCCTGCTTACATCTCCCGAATACTGGGGTTACAGGTACACACCGCATCCAGTTTGTTTGGTGCTGGGATTGAACCCAAGGCCTTGTACATATTAGGCAATTAAACTACATTCCTAGCTCAGCCTTCCTGTTCTTAGAAGTCCAGTCTAGACTGGCTTATGGGGCTTCCAGGGGAGGTGAATAGGGGTAAAGTTCGTGGCTAGCCCAGGATCCACCTTGGTCAGCTCCTTAAGCTGATCATCTTACTGAATGCCTGATGCCTACCAGGGTGCTGCGCCTCACTGGCCTCTCACCGGAGATTGTGGAACTCAGTGAACCACTGCAGGTTGTACGATACAGTGAGGGAGGCCACTACCATGCTCACGTGGACAGCGGACCTGTGTATCCAGAGACCATCTGCTCCCATACCAAGCTGGTAGCCAATGAGTCTGTACCCTTCGAGACCTCCTGTCGGCAAGTACCTCCCCGCTGGGGGTTGGTTCCAATTCCCAGACTGGTACCTTGAGGACACAGGATTAGCGATTAGCTTGGTATGGGGCCAAGAATATATTGGGCCATCCTGGTCAGCCATGCCCTTACTTTCCCCCCAAGTGTCCCCTTCACTGTTTATGGAGTAGCAGGAAAGTGGGGGCCACTGGCTGTTGTGTCTACTCAAGTGCGAACAGACACTGAAACTTGTCCCCATAAACATTGCTCTTGACTGCACTGCTGGAGATCGCAGCCTTACGTCTCCAGGTTACCCCTCTGCCTACACAAAGTTAGGGTTCCATGTGGCCATTCTGGCTCAGTCTTTCTAGTTGCAAGGAGACTCTGCATGTTGTTCCTGCTTTTACTTACCTTTCCCAGCCAGGTCTTTGGTCAAGGTCACATAACTTACCTAAGTACACCTGTGATCTTGGCCACACAAGAAGAATGGGTCTGTGAGGTAAAGGGCTAGAGATGCCTTGGCCATCCTAGCCTGACCCTGTGGCCCCTGGTAACCTGGACATTTTATCCTGCCCACAAGTGGGAATATCCACGGTTGGGGATCCGCTTAGCAGCGCCCCTCTGCCTTGCAGCTACATGACAGTGCTGTTTTATTTGAACAATGTCACCGGTGGGGGCGAGACTGTCTTTCCTGTAGCAGACAACAGGACCTATGATGAAATGGTAAGGGCCAATGGGCTGTTACTTTTGTGGGTTGGTAGGGCCTTGGGCAAATGTATACACACCCTTCCAGACCTGGGATGAGGGCACTGGTCTGTTTTCCCCCTAGCCATCTCTGCCTGCCTGATTATATAATGGCAGGCAGTCCAAAAACGTCATCACCTTGTTGCCCATAGAGTCTAATTCAGGATGATGTTGATCTCCGCGACACTCGAAGGCACTGTGACAAGGGGAACCTTCGTGTCAAGCCCCAGCAAGGAACTGCAGTCTTTTGGTACAACTACCTGCCTGATGGGCAAGGTGAGGGCTTATGGCCAGGTCATGGGCTTCTCTGAGGGAGCGTATCTCCTCCTCCTGCCACCCTGGAGGCTGTTTCTGTCTGTCCTTCAAATAGGCTTCTGCCACAATCAGTGATTTTGATAGGTCACAGCAGCAGCAGCCAGCCTGTCTTCCTCATGCATCAGCCTTTCTGCTTTCTGGGGCTAGGGAAAGTTCTCTCAACAACCCAGGCTGGGAAGAGCTATGGACAGGCTTGGCACCAGGGACGCTGGTTTCAGAGGACCAGTGTGTTGACCATGTCTTAGTGGGTGAGATGCCTAGTTCTTCCATGGGGATTAGGTGTTTGCACAGCTCAGGCTGGTCCAACCTAGGGTTCCCTCCAACTTGTTCCTTTGTTCACGCCACCTTCTTCCCCTAGGTTGGGTGGGTGAAGTGGACGACTACTCATTGCACGGAGGCTGCCTGGTCACCCGCGGCACCAAATGGATCGCCAACAACTGGATCAATGTGGACCCTAGCCGGGCACGGCAAGCTTTGTTCCAGCAGGAGATGGCTCGTCTGGCGCGGGAAGGTGGTGCCGACTCGCAGCCCGAGTGGGCCTTGGACAGGGCCTACAGTGATGCCCGCGTGGAGCTCTGACGAGGCGAGGCGAGGCCCAGATGCCAGTCACCCGCTGCCCAACGTCAAAGACCCTGCAGGCCCTCTGTTCTACTGCAGACTAAAGTTCTGGCCGATCTCTTGCCCTACCCCTCCCAGTCTGCAGCCGCGATGCAAGGCGCAGTTCCTGCATTCACGTTATTTATTGGTGTACGGCCTCCATGCTGCTCCATCAAATAAAACCGCAGGGCTCCGAGCCGGGGGCAGGCCAGCTGAGCGCCCGCACGGGGGAGGGGAGGCCGCCGCTCTCCCGGCCAGCCTCCGGGGGGGCGGGGCGGCTCCCGGGCTGGGCCAATCGCAAGCGAGCTGGCGTGGGCAGCCGGTCGTCATTGGCCGTCGGCGGCCGAGCGCCGGGGCTCTGCTACCTGTAGCTAGGGGCTCAGGAGCTCCGCAGCGCGGCTCTCCGGTCGGCGGCTTCTCGCGAGAACGCTGCGCTCTTCTTGGCTGTGGCAGCTGCGGCAGCTTGAGGAAGGAACGTCATGGACGCTCTCGGGGACTTCGTCTGGCCGCGGGCGACCTCGGAGCTCATACTCCTCCCGGTCACGGGTCTGGAGTGCGTTGGGGACCGGCTGCTAGCGGGTGAGGCTTGGTCGGCTCTAGTCTTGCTCGCGGGCGAAGAACTAGCCGGTCCCCTGGGGCGGTCGCCTCGGGACAAAGGGATGCCCCAGGGAGGCGGATGGGCGGTGGGCTGGGGACTGGCCGTGGGATAAGGCCGGTTCCAGGGCGGCGGGAACACAGGATCAGCCCGGGGAGGGCGGGGCCCGAGAGACAAAAGTCTGTCGTAGCCGCGGCAGCTCTTCATAAATTACAGCCGGTGTGGGAAGGGTGGGCGGAGATGCGGCAAGGTGTGTGGGTGGGGGGTGCGGTCGTTCCATGTTGGGGGAAGGGCGTGTGCACCCCTAAATGGACTCAGATGATCAAAACCAGTGGGGAGGTAAAGAATGGACAGCCCCAGGGGGCGTGGCAGGAGTTGTGCCTCTGGCGAGGGTGAGGCTCCGCCCCCAAAGTTGAGGGGCCTGAAGAGGGTATGATCGCCAGAAATTACATCCGAGACTTCGCTGAGAAGAGCCGTATTGGGAGGGGCCGGGACTGAGGGCCCTCCTGAGATGGTTGGGGCTCAGGGCCGACTGGGTCAGTAATCACATGCCCCGGTGTCTGGTGTAAAGGCCTAATACGAAGCCCTAGCCACTGGTAATGGTGGTGGTAGGTTTTATAAGGGTCCCTAGCGCTGACTATTAGGCCTTGGTTCAGCCATCATTAGCCCCTACAGGGTTGTGTGTGTGTCCATGTGGCAAGGGTATCATCTAGAGTTGATGGGGGGGGTGTGTGCAAATATTGGGTTGCTCCAGTGAACTAACCTCATGAGGTGGGGCCAGCAAACTCTTGTGGAAGTGAACTCGAGGATCTGAAGAAAGAGAAGGTATGGAACATTAAGAGAGGGGTGGGCTCGGGCTGGGGCTGGGCAGGGGCTGGGAATAGTTACCGGGATGAAGAACTGAAATGATTTGGGGAGGGGTGAGATAGTAGGGGAACAGCAGGGTGACTAAAAGGAAGCCGAGAGTCCAGTTCTGGAAATGTCTGTTGATGTGGGTCTGTGAGTTCTACCCACATGTGTGGGGTGTAAGAGACTGCCCAGGAAATGTGTGAGTTTGTATGGAGGGAGGCACTGGACAAGCCTCTGAGCATAAGTTAGGGACACAGATAACCCAGAAGATGCTGTCTAGGTTTAACTCTGTCAAATCATGGGGTTGCAGACAGCTGTGAGCTGCCATGTGGGTCCTGGGAATTGAACCTGGGTCCTCTGGAAAAGCAGCCAGTGCTCTGAACTGCTGAGCCGTCTAGGGACTTGCTAACTGCAGCTCATATCCCTACCTTCCAGGGGTTCTTTGTTGTTGCTGTCTGTGCTGTTTAGGCCTTCTAAGCCTCAGTCTCATACAAGGGTTCACAGCTGTCCAGTGGTGAGGCCAGAACTCAAGCCGAGCCCCCTGCCTGCAAAATGTGGGCTGCTTCTGCTCCCCACCTCCCACCCCACCACTGCCTCTGAATATGCACAGGGCTGTAGACTAAGGAGGGAGGGTGCTGGTTATAGGCCTAAAGGGTGGGAAGGTTGACACAGCCTTTTCCCTGAGGGAGGGAGAATCAGGAAGGATGTATGTAGAGACAGATGAAGCTGGGAATTTGGGGACTAGAGCCGAGGAGGGCCTCCCATCTGAAGTGTAAGAATGGTATGCACGGGGGGAATTCCTAGTGAATATACATTAAGGGTGATTGATAGCCAGGCACAATGATACACTGCTGTAATCCCAGCAGTTGGGAGGCGGAGGCAAGAGAATTTTGAGTTCAAAGCCAGTGTGGGCTGTATGGGAGAAGCTCCCCACAAAAAAGCGAGCGACTGAGAGGCACACACATTTGCAGTACAGTCTGGCTGAGGCTGAGGGAAGGACTTGTAGCTTTAGTGGGATTTTGTGTCCTGATACGTTATATGCTAAGAAGCGTTCTGCTCCCATCTCTTCCTGCATCGTGGCGTCAGGTGAGTGGTTCTGATGTGGCGCTTTCCTCTGTCTAGGTGAGGGGCCTGACTTACTGGTGTACAACTTGGACTTCGGTGGGCATCTCCGGATGCTGAAGCGAGTGCAGAACCTGCTTGGCCACTATCTTATCCATGGGTTCCGAGTGCGACCAGAGCCCAAGGGAGACGTTGACTCTGAGGCCATGATAGCTGTGTTTGGGAGTAAGGGACTCAGAATTGTGAAAATTAGCTGGGGTCCAAGCCATCTTCGAGAGCTCTGGCGCTCTGGCCTGTGGAACATGTCCGACTGGATCTGGGATGTTCGCTGGCTGGAGGGCAATGTGGCCTTGGCCTTGGGCCACAACTCAGTGGTGCTGTATGACCCTGTGACTGGGTGCATGCTGCAGGATGTACCCTGCACAGACAGGTGCACCCTCTCCTCGGCCTGCCTGATTGGAGACACCTGGAAAGAACTGACCATAGTGGCAGGTGCGGTTTCCAACCAGCTCCTGGTCTGGTATCCAGCCACTGCTTTAACAGACAACAAACCTGTGGCACCTGACCGGCGGGTTAGTGGACACGTGGGTGTCATCTTCAGCATGTCATACCTCGAAAGCAAGGGCCTGCTGGCAACTGCTTCAGAAGATCGAAGTGTCCGTATCTGGAAGGTGGGCGACCTCCGGGTGCCTGGGGGTCGGGTGCAGAATATTGGTCACTGCTTTGGACATAGTGCCCGTGTGTGGCAGGTGAAGCTCTTAGAGAATTACCTTATTAGTGCAGGAGAGGACTGTGTCTGCTTGGTTTGGAGCCATGAAGGTGAGATCCTTCAAGCCTTTCGGGGCCACCAGGGCCGCGGGATCCGTGCCATAGCTGCGCATGAGAGGCAAGCCTGGGTGATCACTGGGGGTGACGACTCAGGCATTCGGCTCTGGCATCTGGTAGGGCGTGGGTACCCAGGCTTGGGCGTCTCAGCTCTGTCCTTCAAGTCCCCTAGCCGGCCAGGTGCCCTCAAGGCTGTGACTCTGGCTGGTTCTTGGAGAGTACTGGCAGTGACTGATGCAGGAGCCCTCTACCTCTACGACGTTGAGGTCAAATGCTGGGAGCAGCTGCTGGAGGACAATCGATTTACGTCTTACTGTCTGCTGGAAGCAGCTCCAGGGCCTGAGGGCTTTGGACTCTGTGCCTTGGCCAATGGGGAGGGTCTTGTCAAGGTTGTCCCTATCAACACTCCCACTGCTGCTGTGGACCAGAACCTGTTCCAGGGGAAGGTCCACAGCCTGAGTTGGGCCCTCCGTGGCTATGAGGAGCTTCTGTTGCTGGCATCAGGCCCTGGTGGGGTAGTAGTTTGCTTGGAGATCTCAGCTGCACCTACTGGCAAGGCCATCTTTGTCAAGGAACGTTGCCGGTACCTGCTTCCCCCAAGCAAGCAGAGATGGCACACATGTAGTGCCTTCCTGCCCCCAGGTGACTTCCTGGTCTGTGGGGACCGCCGTGGCTCTGTGATGCTGTTCCCTGCCAGACCAAGTCTATTCAAAAATCCTGGGGGTGGAGGCAAGGCTATCACTGAAGCTGCGGCACCTGGAGCTGGTGGTAGCAGTGGTGGGTCTGAGAAGGTTGCAACAGGGTTACGCCCAGTATCTTCCCTCCATTCTCTGCATGGGAGACAGGGAGTGACCTCAGTTACCTGTCATGGTGGCTATGTATACAGCACAGGGCGTGATGGCACCTACTACCAGCTCTTCGTACATGGCGGCCAGCTCCAGCCAGTCCTAAGGCAGAAGTCCTGTCGTGGCATGAACTGGATAGCTGGGCTTCGCATGGTGCCTGATGGAAGCATGGTCATCTTGGGTTTCCATGCCAATGAATTTATAGTGTGGAGCCCCCGGTCCCATGAGAAGCTGCATATCGTCAACTGTGGTGGAGGGCACCGCTCCTGGGCCTTTTCTGATACTGAGGCAGCCATGGCCTTTGCCTACCTTAAGGATGGTGATGTCATGCTCTATCGGGCTCTAGGTGGCTGCATTCGTCCAAATGTGATTCTCCGAGAGGGTCTGCATGGCCGTGAAATCACATGTGTAAGGCGCGTAGGCACTGTAACCCTGGGCCCTGAATTTGAGGTACCCAGCTTGGAGCATCCTGACTACCTGGAGCCTGGCAGTGAGGGGCCTGGTCTGATTGACATCGTGATCACATGCAGCGAGGACACTACTGTCTGTGTCCTAGCGCTTCCCACAACCACAGGCTCAGCCCATGCACTCACAGCTGTTTGTAACCATATCTCTTCGGTGCGTGCTCTGGCAGTGTGGGGCATTGGCACTCCAGGTGGCCCACAGGATTCTCGACCAGGTCTCACTGCTCAAGTAGTATCTGCCGGGGGTCGAGCCGAGATGCACTGCTTCAGCATCATGGTCACTCCTGACCCCAGCACCCCAAGCCGCCTTGCCTGCCACGTCATGCACCTTTCATCCCACCGGCTCGATGAGTACTGGGACCGGCATCGTAACCGGCACCGGATGGTCAAGGTGGACCCTGAGACCAGGTAATATGCACTCCCTGTGATGGACATGAAGTGGGATCATTGTAAGGAAACTACAGGCAGGTGTAGTCTCCTGGCTTGCAGACTCTACCTGACAGCTGTGTTTTCCCTGCAGGTACATGTCTCTTGCTATTTGTGAGTTTGACTCGGATAAGCCTGGCTTTGGACCCCTTGTGGCTGCAGCCTGTAGTGATGGAGCAGTAAGGTGAGCACTTAGGGCCAGTGGATGAAGAGACAAAGGGTCTGAGTTCTCCAGGATGGGTTCTGAGATGCCTCTCCGCCCCCAGGCTTTTTCTCTTGCAGGACTCTGGGCGAATTCTGCATCTCCTTGCTGAGACTTTCCACCATAAGCGGTGTGTTCTCAAAGTCCATTCCTTCACTCATGAGGCACCTGACCAGCGGCGGTGAGAGAGGCAGTCCTGTATGGATTGGGTAGGGGCTCCTGTTGTCTTCCACCCCTTTCATTGATTGGGATGCCTTCTCCTGCTTCCAGGAGGCTGATCCTGTGCAGTGCAGCTACAGACGGCAGCCTGGCCTTCTGGGATCTTACCACCGCGATGGACCGTGGCTCCACTACCCTGGAGTCCCCAGCACACCCTGGGCTTCCCTATCGTAAGTACCGTGACCTCCCTTACCACCTCTCATACAAGTTGAAAGCAGGACCCTAATAGCCACTCTCTTCCTCCAGAGCTGGGCACTCCCTGCTTGACCGTCCAGGCCCATAGCTGTGGTGTCAACAGCCTGCACACCCTGCCTACCCCTGAGGGCCACCATCTTGTGGCCAGTGGCAGTGAGGATGGGTCACTCCATGTCTTTACCCTTGCTGTGAAGATGCCAGAGCTGGAAGAGGCTGATGGGGAGGCTGAGCTGGTGCCCCAGCTGTGTATCCTAGAGGAATATTCTGTCCCCTGTGCACATGCTGCCCACGTGACAGGCCTCAAGATCCTAAGTCCCAGCCTCATGGTCTCAGCCTCCATAGACCAACGGCTGACCTTCTGGCGTCTGGGGCATGGTGAGCCCACCTTCATGAACAGCACTGTGTACCACGTACCAGATGTGGCTGACATGGACTGCTGGCCTGTGAGCCCTGAGTTTGGCCATCGCTGTGCTCTTGGGGGTCAGGGACTTGAGGTTTATAACTGGTATGACTGAGTTATCTCAGTTGTTGGAGAACTGAGCATGGGGCCTGCCTGTAGACAGTGGAGCAGGGATCTGCTGTCTCTGCTCATGCTCAGTGTGCTCTGAGGTGAGGCAGTACCATGGGTTCTTAACTTGGAGTACTCCAGTAGGGTGCCACGTAGGTGGGCCAAGAATATGCCTCACTCTCTCTATTGGGATGAACTGTATTTATTTTGGCTTTAAGTGCCCAGCATCTGTGAAGTTTTGTCTTTTTCCCAGTTGATGATTGTGTAAACATTCCCAGCCTTTGGGCCCTTAGATGTGGCTTAGCGGAGGGAGGCCCAGCATAGCCAAGCCTGTGTGGAAGACCTCACGTACTGCTCTCAGAAGCTGTAGGCGGGCAAACATCTGACCAAAGAGGTGTGGCCGAGGTTCCTGAAAGAAAAGGAAGCAGGCTCATCCTCTTGTTTCCCTGTCTTTACCGCGTGCACCCTACATTCCCAACAGACGCTCTTTTGCTGTATGCTTACCCCTAGAATGTGTACTCGGTTATAGTAGGAGCTGAAATCCATGCTGAGCTGCACTAGGAACTTGCACACCTAGAGACAGAGGTTGAATCACTGGGCTGTTGTCTTTGTTCTTGTGTGCCAATCCAGAATAAAGAATAGTGTGTAGTGTCTGTGCCTCACCATCTCTGTGCGGACAGGGACGTGGAGCCCTGGGGTGCTGGCCAGGCTCACAGTCTGGCTCAGCAGGTCCAGGAAGGGAAGAACACTGTTGAAAAGCAGCAGCCACTCACCCTGTGGGAGACAAGGGTGCTAGGAATACCAGTCCAAGCCTTCTGCTTATGGCCGTTTCTCAGGAGGAACACTCACCTCATCATGGAGCAGTGAGAAATCCAGACTGCTCACAGGTGGGAAAGTGGGATACAGACCTTGTTCCATGCCATGTTGGTAACCCTCGAAAAGTGTGGCAAGGCGGGCACAGTTGTACATGACAAAAGTGCCACTTTTTGTACCCTTTGTGGAGATGGTGCTGTCGGCCAGGAGTAGCTAGGGAATGGGAATCCAGCTGTAGAGGGCATGGACACTATACCTTCCTCCTCAGTCTTAGTACTGTGAAGCACCCAGGCTTACTTGGTTCTGTGGAGCTGTGCTTAGCATCTCAAATTTGATGGTGGCCACAGAGAGGACATCAAAGGTCTCGGTCCAGGCTGGATCTGGGGGTGAGAGATACAGATTGGTCAGTGTCTGCAGACAAGGAACAAGTACAGGTGTGGATGACCTGCTTGTACTCCAGGGCACAACCAGGGTCTCCCAGGTATACCTTGTGCCAGGTCCCCACCATGCTTCAGTGCTGAGGCCTTACACACCTGAGCATATCTGAACCTAGAAAAGAAAGCCAGTGAGCAAGGTCCCAGTGAAGCCCTGACCCACATCTCAGCTGCCCCTGGCTTTGGGTCGGTGTGCCTGTCAGCTCACTCACTTGTAGTACTCAGGGGCAGTCATCAGAGTGCCAGATACACCAGCTACTTTCACTGGGCCACAGACCAGGTGCTTCTGTGAAAGAGAGCAGGGTCTCAGTCCAGGTGGCACTACCATCCAGCCTCCAAGGAACCTCCATCTGCTACTTCTCTATCTTGGTTCTCCCAATCTGTAACCACCAGTCTTAATACCTCAAGCCTAGGCCCTCAAGACACAGTCCACCATCACAGGACTTCTGCACCTGCTGCACAGGTCCCTAAGGTCATACCAGTCTGAACCCACGGTCTAACAGGCCCTTTGTGTTTTCAAGGGCCTTCTGAAAACCTTTAAGGTGGTTTACCTTTGATAACCAACCTGCTTGTCAGGAGCCTGGTCATCCAACTTTTGCCAAAGCAGATCCAACTTTTGTTGCTGGAAAGCTTCCTCACAGCTTACCACGTGCACAACCATGCAGCCATTAACACCAGAGTCTGGATCCCCATCCTGAGTAGAGATAGGACAGTTACTACAAAGATGCAGCAAACCAATTCGGGCAGAGGTCAAGACAAGAGCCACTAACCAGGCCTGGGTAGCTGCCCTCTGGCCAATGGCGCACAGCTTCCTGCAGCTCAGACAGCACAGAGAGCAGATCCTCCGTCACTACAGAAAAGAGAGGTGATGAAGTGCTCAGCAGCGCAGAGATCCCCCATCCCTGTTTTGGCCTCTGTCCTACCCAAACAGTTGTCTATGCTGGGGTCATAGCCAGCTGCATGTTTCTGTTCTACTAGTTCCTTCAGACACAGTCGGCCTAGGACGCCAGGTGGCAGTGTCTCCTCCTTAGAAACAGAATTAAGTTCTGCAAGCACACAGGTCCTCAGGGTTTCAGTCGAGGCGCTCTTCGAGGCAGCGGGCCAGTCCACCCGAAGTTTCTGCAGGAAAGTTGCCATGTGCGGATCCCGCACCGAGGGCACCGAGCACACACATACTCTACAAAGCAAGGGTGGTTGTCTCAGCCTGCGAACCAGGCCCCCCTGGTCTGTCCCCAAAGGTTCAGTCTTTTGTCCCTGCGGACTGGAACAGGCGCTTACCCATGAGCGCGTAGCGTCCGCGCTAGGTGATCGGCCACGAGCACTGCACGCAGCTGGCTCAGGCGGAGTGTGTCCGGGTGGCAGCGCAGTGCGGGGCAATGCAGAACAATTTGCGGGCCGGGAGAGGCAGGCTTGGCGGGAATAGCATAGGAGGTCGGGGCACCGAGGACACGCTCGAAGACCACGGGCCGCTGTAGTTGGAGCGATAAACCCGCGGGTGTTGGCGCGCAGCGCAGTACAGGGGCCACCCCCGGACCCTGCAGGCAGGCGACCGCACGGAACACGCACTCTGGCACCTGCGGGCGGATGGGTGTGTAAGTAGACCGTAGTTGGCCTGAAACGGGCTGGAGAGCCCCGCCCAGCTCGCACCCACCTGCCCGTCCCTGAAGCGCGCCTGTAGCGCACTTCGCGGCGCCAAGAAGTCTCGGACACGCAGGTGCCGGGCGTGCGTCTCCTTGAACCACACCGGGCTACCCGGCCCCACAGCGGCGTTAAGGGCCTCCAGCGTCTCCCCCACCCCAAGGCGCCCTGTCGCCATGGCGACCGGAAGAGTGAGCGGAACAGGAAGCAAATTAGCAGTAGCGCTTCCGGGAGGTCCGTCTGGCTGGGGCGGGGATCCGGCGGTGGACCCTCCTGAGAGGACCAGAGCACTGGATCGTGCCGAGTGAGCTTACTTTCGACCCACCGCTTCCAGTGTTCCCTCCCGAAGGCCTTTCCTGCATTTGTGAGCCCTAGACCCAAAATCTCGGGGTCATTTTTGCGCCTAGGTTTTTTTTCATCCTGCATTATTTTTGGTAGTGGGTCTTTGTCATCAAAGTTTCACATCTTTGTGCTTATGTGATGTTTCATTTTTTGCCCCATTCAAACAAGATTAAAATGTCAGACAAATTGTTAATGGAATAAGGCTGTATCATTAAAGACGCTTTATTTATTTGGTTTTTCGAGACAGGGTTTCTCTGTATAACAGCCTTGGCTGTCCCGGAACTCACTTTGTAGACCAGGCTGGACTGGAACTCAGAGATCTGCCTGCCTCTGCCTCCCAAGTGCTGGAATTAAAATCGTGCACCACCACGCCCACCTTTCATTAAAGACACTTTACTGCCTACTTAAAAAGCAAGCAAAAAAACCCAAACGAGTTGTTTCCGATCATTTGCTTGACTTTCCTCGTTTGGGGTATGGGACGTCTTTATTCCCAATAAAAGTCCAATCTGATAAAAATTGCACCTCCCGATACCTGAGGAATTATCATAATTTCCAGAATTACCAACCTTTAATGTTTTTCCTTTGACCAGATGTTACCGGCACTTTGATCTTTTTTTTAAATAACTGGCCAATTTGAGACAATTAAATGTGATCATGAGAAGACCAAACTAATCAGAGACCTCAGGTGGAGCACACTGCGGGAAAGCTTTCTTCTGTCCAAACGCTTTCATTTCAATGTAACTTAAATCTCCTCCACTTCCCCTAGTAATGAATGAATCGAACTAGTGAACTTTGCTCCGGAGAAGAGTGAACTCTAGGGATAAGAAAAGTTTGGTAAGGCTCCTCTCTGGGCCAGGGCTCTGAGGCCCTGCTTGGGAGGTGCCGAAAGAGCACTGGGCGGACACGACATTCCCGATGGCTTCTTGGGTGCCCACTCAACGGGAGTGATCGTGTCATTCCAAAGCACTTTCCATGCTGTAGGTAAGCTGCTAGCCGGACTGAGACCCACCGGCAAGTTGGTGATTTCAGCGACTTCTCTCCCTCCATGAAGACGGTTGGGGTGGTTTTTCCCCAGGAAGTGAAGAGCTATCTTTAGCGAGCTGCGGGCTGGGCGGCCCTGTGGGACTCACCGCCATTGCGGCTCTACAGAGAGGACCCAGGACCTCCCTCGTCAGTGTTCTCCGGGGATTCCAGAGAGGGCCATCAGCCTGAGCTCTTTCCGTCGTCTCTGCCTGCCACCATCAGCCTGAGGGTGCACCTGAGAGATGGAGATCAGAATGGCCCACCCAGAGGGTTTCTAAGGGTAGAGACCACCTCATCTGGGCCAGGGCGCTGCTCAGGCAGGAGAGCAGGGAACGAAATCCAAGCGCAGCTGGAATGCTCTGGAGACAACAGCTGCTTTTGGGATTCCGTTGCCCGCTGTCCAGCCGTTGGAGGAGGGCTCCTGCCCCCAGGTCACTCGCCCTGGGGCCAAACCGGAACCCGCCCATCCCTTTCCAGTGGGCAGACAAGCAGGTGGTGTAATCCAGTCTAGTGAGACTGAGGCGCTCACCTGGGCCCCAGAACAATAGGAGAAGGTGGGGGCCTCTCCCGGGACCAGGTCCCGATCCGGATTAGATCAGAAGGGCAGGATTAGCCCTGTTTGAGTCCCAAGCAGCAGGAGCCACTGGTACGGTGACTGGGCGGGCTTCGGAATCCGCCAAGAGGGAAGCGATCCCGTGGGACCCGAGGGGAAGTAAACCCACGCGTCGACTTCTGGGACACCCCAAGGCTCGGGGCTCTTTGTCCGGTGACGCTGCCAGCTCACGAAGTGCCAGGGGCCAAACCGGCCCACATAGCAGCGGCAGGACAGCCTCCCCCAGAACGCATTGCAACCGGCCCTGCAAGAACCCCATAGCCAAGCCCCGATGGTGTCGAGCATCCCACCCGTCTAGTCCAGCGGACGGAAAACGCGACAAAGTTCCCCTGAGACCAGGACAGAACCGGTGCGCAGAGATGCCCAAGCCGCGCGCCGCCAGCGACTCTTGTGCCAGTAGGCCCTAGACTCGGCTCAAGACAGGGGGAGGGAGACGCTCGGCCCGCGCACGCAGAGCGCGCGTGGACAGAGTGATGCTCCAGGCGCTGTCTACTTCACGTCTGCTCCGGTTCGGCCCAGCCAGTCCCACCCGAACAGCTACTCCGGCACTGCTGCGGCGTGCCCTTCCGCTGGCTCTAGCTGTCCGAAGACTTGGAGCCATTTTAAGGAGAAACCATCTGGCCACACCCCCTCGCGCTCCCGGGAAGCCAATCCACGCCCGGCCACGCCTCTCCTGGAGCGCCGCGCCGCCGCCAACGGTCGCACGGGTGACGGTTGGGGAGGGCAGCGATTTGGAGACGAGCTAAGGAAACCTTAGCCGTGGGCCCCGCCCACGGAGCCCGGCTCTCCAAAGCCTGGGATTAGGGGCCTGGAGGCTGGCACCACACCTTGGCCAGGTGTTCATAACAGGACCAGGTGCGCGGCTGCCCCGCCCCGGTCCCCGGGAGCCCTGAATAATGGCTGAGAACCCGAGGAACAGGCCCCAGCTGCGGCCCAAAACAATACCCTGAGGGCACCGGTGCTAGCAGGTGTCCCCCCTCCCTAGGGACAGTCGGGGGAGGCCTGCCTGGGGCGGGGTGGGCAACAGGTGCTGACACAAGAACCGCGCCGGGGGACGGAGTCTACTGAGACAGATGTCAGCGCCCACCGCGCCGGGCCAGTTGCGCGGTGCCCTCCGGGACGCAGGGGGCGCTGTGGGCGCGCGGAGGCAGACAACATTGCGATCCCATCACCCCTCGGACCCTGTTTCTAACGCGCCGAGCAGCCATGGCCGCCGCTCTTGGCCTTCGCTGCCTGTCGCGAGCGCATCCTGCGCGGCTCTGTGGGCGCGTGGATCTGCTGCGGTGAGCTCCCCCGCCCCGGCCCGCCCCGGCCCGCCCCCTGGCCCCAGGCCTTTCGGTCCCGCAGAGTAGTAGGGCCTAGCCACGAGCCCCTGACTTTAGCTCTCCGCAGGAGGACCCCGCGCCGGGGCCACCGGCTCTCTCCCGCGGATGATGAGCTGTACCAGCGGACTCGCATCTCTCTGCTGCAGAACGAGTTCCCTCAGGCCGTGTACATTGACAGCTACAATAGCAGAGGCTTCACGATCAACGGAAACCGCGTGCTTGGCCCGTGCGCGCTGCTCCCACAGACGGTGGTCCAGTGGAATGTGAGCCCTACCCTGTAGTGAAGTTGAAGTCGAGATCCAAAAACTATTCCCTCCTAGCAAATTTAGCTTTATTTTGTTGCCTCTTTAGTATCGCTGTGGGTAAAGGCTGTGTAGATTTGACGTGTTGAATGGCCTCTGCTCCCATACAGGTGGGATCTCATCAGGATATCACTGAAGAAAGCTTCTCCCTTTTCTGGATGCTGGAGCCTAGAATAGGTATGGGGGCGTGGGTAGATCTGGGTCCTAAGGCTATCTCAAACCCTCAACACTTGGTCCCCTCTTCCTTAGAGATTGTTGTGGTGGGCACTGGAAACAAGACTGAGCGGCTGCACTCCGAAGTACTACAGTCCATGAGGCAACGGGGCATCGCTGTGGAGGTGCAGGATACGGTAGGTCTTCAGACATGGAAATCCTACCTAGTTCAGCCCTACTTAGCCCAGGCATGCTAATTCTGATGTTTTCATTGCAGCCCAATGCTTGTGCCACTTTCAACTTCCTGTGTCATGAAGGTCGAGTGACAGGAGCCGCCCTCATTCCCCCTCCTGGAGAGACTATACTCACTTCTTTGGGTCACGCTGCAGAATGAAACACCAGGAACAGTCAGCACTGGCACCTTGCCAAGTGCAGGGACTCCCTGTCTTCCTAACCCTCTTGGCACTTCCAACACTTGCCATGCTTACCCAGGATAAGAACTTAACTTCTATGTACAAGTATCGGTTGTGTTACTGGGTGTGGTTGCTGACTGGGGGGTTGGAAATTTAAGGGTTACTCATCTTCAGACAATGTAGGATTCTCTGGGCCTTGAAAGGCTGGGAGGCAGTGTTCACTACTTGCTCATATGCAGATGCAAGGGGACCCCAATAGACTTCTTAAAAAAGATTTATTACGCCGGGCGGTGGTGGCGCACGCCTTTAATCCCAGCACTCGGGAGGCAGAGCCAGGCGGATCTCTGTGAGTTCGAGGCCAGCCTGGGCTACCAAGTGAGTCCCAGGAAAGGCGCAAAGCTACACAGAGAAACCCTGTCTCGAAAAACCAAAAAAAAAAAAAAAAAAAAAAAAAAAGATTTATTATGTATACAGTGTTCTGCCTGTGTGTATGTCTGCACACCAGAAGAGGGCACCAGATCTCATTATAGGTGATGTGGTTGCTGGGAATTGAACTCAGGACCTCTGGAGGAGCAGCCAGTGCTCTTAACCTCGGGGCCAGCTCTCTAGCTCCCTAACTCCAGGTCCACAAAGTGTGTTTATCTCATGGCCCAGTGCTCGGCCAGAAAGGAAAGGACTATATTTTAACATCTGTGATGGTGCAAAGTCCCACGTGCCTACTGAACTTAAAGATCAGTTTTGTCACTTTTTTCCCAAAACTTTTTATTGAAAAATCCAAGGCACACACTGGATCTCTTCAGAAAAGCCGCTTTTCATACCTGCCGACAGAGACCACCTGTGAGTTCAGGGCAGGAGGGGGAGGTCTGAGGCTGGCAGAAACTCCCACTCGGGCACAGGGCGACTTACGAATGAAGGCTGTGGACACCACCTTCCACCTGAGCTGAGGATGTTCTCTTCTCAAATTTCAGTTCCCCAGAGTACATCATGGCTCTGTAGAAAGGCAGGCATTAGATGCAGGCAGCAGCTGGCCTTTGTACCACTCCCTCTATTCATGTCCCAGCCCCCCAAGCTCACCGGACTTGGGTTATCTATTCATGTCCCAGCTCCCCAAGCTCACCGGACTTGGGTTAAACTCTTGGCACCAATGTCCTGACAGGAATGCTGGATGCCAGCAATCAAGTAAGGGACGAACTTGTGGATAGACCCTTTGTCCTGCACAGCCCCGGAAACTCCTTGGGCCACTTTGATTTTGTCAGCTTCACTGTTGGAATAGGCAAAGAAATTGGCAAAGTTGCCATAGGGATGGGACTACATGCAGGGCTTAGCGGAGTGACTTGTTTGCCTGTCCTACCTGAAATATCGGTTCTGGCTGCTGAGATGCTTGTCCATGGCATCAAGAGAACCCATACCACGGTACTTCTTTAGCCGGATCCCATCTGAGAAAAAGTACTCCCCAGGGGCCTCGGTAGTGGCAGCCAAGAGGGAGCCCATCATGACTGCAGACAGATAAGTAAACTAAGGCAGAATCTGAGCAATACAGAAAAGGGGATACCACCTGGTCCTAAGGTGACTAGGCCTTACCTGTAGAAGCCCCAAGAGCCAAAGCTTTGGCAATATGACCCACATTTTGGATTCCTCCATCAGCAATAACAGGAACACCAAAGCGCCGAGCATACTCAGAAACCTTGTACACGGCTGTTGCTTGGGGCCGCCCACAGGCCAACACTGTTGAGAGATGGAGGAACAGATGGATGTGTGGTATTGGGATGGGATACAAGGGGCCATTCACAGGACCCAGGAGCTCTGAAAGACCTATACCAAGTCAAGAGCTGACGAAGAGATGTGTCTGGGATGGCTCTGCTCATCTGCCTTGAATAATACAAACAGCTGTGCTGGCTTCGCCTCTGCGTGTGCACGTGCATGTGTGCAGGGCTCAGGGCCCAATGCAGCCTCAGGCACATGCAGTTTATAGCAGCCGGGAAGCCCCGCCCAGCTGGTTACAGATGGGGAAAGAATAATCGTGCAGTTAGTATCCAGAGGCACCACGTCAGGCCTAGCCCTTCCTGCAGAGTGGGCAGCTCAGGCAAGATCGGGGCAATGGTGACGTAGAAGAGAGAGCAGGCTCAAGAATTGGTTGTTGAGCTGTGCCTACTGCAGAGGATGTGGGCAGAGCAGGGCCTGCCTCAGGAAGGAGGTCCTGCTCTATGAGCACCCTAGAAAGGAGCTGTAATCTCAAGCAGCCCCCAAACCATGGTCTGTACATCTGTTTGCCCTGCCCACCCAACAGCACCACAAACCCTGGGAGCTACAGCTACAGTCAACCAAGCAGCCGGGCAGTGGGCAGCTGGGCCGGGCCAGTGCGCCGGGCCAGACTTACTATAGCAGCCCGTGACAGTAGAAGGGCATTTGGGGCTGTGGGACTTTATGTCTGGTGGGATCTTGGGAGCCGCTAAATAAAACAAACAGACCAGAGTTTAGAGAGGGCACAGAGCAGGTGCAAGGAGGCCAGGCTAGGCAAGGAGTGGCAGGTGAGGGGTGACAAGAACTTGTCTTGCTTCCAGCCATGTCACCCATCCAAGAGGCCTGTTTGGCCCTAGAGTTGCCCGTGTTGGAGGACTCAAGTGTAGTTGCCCTGAGAGCTGTTGGCCCCGATCAAAGCCGGTTTTTACCTTCCTGGGTAATGCAGATGGAACCACATCCCATGCCGACTCGCAGAGCGTCCACACCTGCATCTATGAGGTTCTTGGCTTGAGCAGCAGTGACTACTACAGTGAAGCAGAAGGGTAATGAGGGCGGGTCCAGGTGCTAAGAAGGGTCAAACATCCTTACCCACCAGTGCAGCTTCTCTTACCATTGCCTCCAATGACTTGGAGATTGGGGTACTTCTCTTTGATGTATTTGATCATATTGATTTGGAAAATGGAGTTTCCCTGGGAAGAATCCTAGGACAGGAAGAAGTTCTATACCATGATATGGCAATCACCCCTTCAATTCCACCCCAACTTATGTTGTAGCTTACCAAAACCACTACATCCACACCAGCGAGGGCCAGTAAATCCAGCCGATACTTGTCATCCTCGTGAGTGCCAATGGCCGCCCCACACAGCAGCTGCTTTTTAGTGTCTTTGGAAGCCAGTGGATAATCTCGGTTTTTCTTCAGGTCTGTCCTGGCAATGATGGCTACTAGCTCGTCATCTTCATTCACAATGGGCAACTTTCCTGAACACAGGACAGGACATGGATGAGGACCCTGAGCATTTCTGTGCCCCTTCCCACCTTCAGGACTCACCCTTTTTACTGCGCTGCAGAATTTCATTTGCCTCTTTCAGAGTGATGCCTGCAGGGGCCACCACCAGATCTTCCCTCTTTGTCATGATCTAGACGAACCATGAGGACAGACGAGTCAGACCAGGACCCTCTCTTTCCCACAGGCCACACTATCAAAGGACCACCATGATCACATCCAGGACCCCAACTGTCCCTCCTGACAGGCACTCAGTAGTCGTTATACCACTGAAATTAGTGATACTTGAGTAAGAACACAGTACAGGGAGCAGCCTCTCATCGAGAAGGAAAATCCACAAAGGAGCAACGAGAACAAGAAAGGTCCTTAAGAACTAGCCCCCACCTTAAGCATGGAAAAAATAAAGCGTGAATGCTGGCAGACATTTTGTAACCAGAGTCCCTGCAGGGAGAAGGGATGCAGAAACCCCAGGAAGTAAGAAACACGGCTGGGGGTTTTTGTGGCCAGAAAATGAGGACATCAGTAATTCACACAGGTAAAAGAAAGTGCCTGTCTTCAGCCTGGGTTGTTACACCTTGGTTGTCCCCTGCTATGGAGACCTACCTCTTCCAAGAAACGGTCATGCTCTTCCTCCTTGAGAAAATCAATGTCCCTTGAGGAGATGATGCCCACCAATCGACTCCCCATTCGGCCTGTATCTGTGATGGGGATACCACAGAAGCCATGCCTGGCTTTGGCCTCAAAAACATCCCGCACACGATCCTTGGGGCTAAGTACCACAGGATCAGTGATGAATCCCTGTTCATATTTCTGGAAGAGATGATGAGAAGGTCACTGCATCTTTGAAATCACTTTCATCAGCCTCCTGGTCTAAAGTGTGAGGGCTGGAAGCACGGTGCACTATCTTATGAAATGGGGTCTTGGGTCTTTCTCCTCAGTAACTCAACCCCACAGTGGGAAGAAAGGACCCTTAGCAGAACAAACCCTCCACTCCCACCCCACTCCACCTCTGTAATTCCCAGGAGATCCTGGCCACGATCCTTGCCCTTCTGACCTTCACTTTCCGAACTTCATTGGCCTGGAATTCAGGTGTACAGTTGTGGTGGATGAAACCAATACCTCCTGTAAGCTACAAGATGAACACATGCCAGTAAGTGATGACTTAGAAGTGCAATATCTGGCAGAGATGGCACCCTGTCTTGTCCTCCCATAACCCTCTGGGCTCACCGCCATTGCGATGGCCATTCCAGCCTCAGTGACAGTGTCCATAGGTGAGGAAACCAATGGGGTCTTCAGTGTGATCTTCTTAGTTAGAGCAGAGGTCAAATCCTGAGGAGATAAAGGACCACTAAAGGAAACCACAGCTTATTCCTCAGGGTCCATAGAATGGCCCTGGGTGACCTGCATGCGCACCAGAAAGACCATTCCATTGACTCTACCCAACTCCCTAAACCCCATTCTGGTGTAGCTCACATTAACAAACAGCAGCACCAACTGGGTGTAATGATGCACACCTTTAAACCCAGCACTCGGGAGGCAGAGGTAGGTAGATCTGAGTTTGAGGCCAACCTGATCTACAAAGAGTTCTAGGACAGTCAGGCTACACAGAGAAACCCTGTTTTGAAAAACCAAAACCAACCAACCAACCAGCAGCCCTTTCCTCCCTTCTAGACTAGACGTTCACAACTCAGTTCCTAGAATGGGCATAATGGCACGTGCCTACTGTAATCTCAGCACTCGCTCAGAAGCCAGAAGCAAGAGGACCACTAGTTCAGGGTCAGCTTGGTCAACAACTAGTTCCAGACCAGCTACAAAGTTATACAGGGACACAATCTCAAAAACAAAACAGAAAAACCTAGTCCCTTATTATACTCACCACTTGGTCCGCAGTGAAGTCGATATACCCAGGAAGAATGAGAAAATCGCTGTAGGAGGGAATTAGGCAGGATTCTCAGGCTTATAAAAAGAGACTCCAACTCCATATATCATCCCATAAAGCTCTGAACAGGGAGCTATGCTCAGCCCGTGTGCCACAGGCAAGATGGCACTGGGTGGATTAGAGACAGGGGAGTCTTCTGCCAAGGAACTAGCTGTCATTAGTGCTCCTGCACACTGACAATTCCATGCGCCCAGAGAACAGTCTCAAGATTCAAGTACTACGTACTGTTGAAACGACCCTTTCTATCCCAGCCCTGGCTCCACATCTGTCAAAGTTATTCTCCGGAGATAAGTAATCCCCGGAACCTGTTCCCCATGTCCGCTTCCAGGAGAGCTTCAATGAAGCCCTCATCCGGCCCCCTCGCCTCCCCCAGATGGTTGCCCTAGATCCGCACTTGTAGGTGAGGCCATCCCCGCAGTTGAAGAGCTGCTGTGCGGTGAGTCCGTCGTCTGGCACGTAAGACGTGCCTCCGCTAATCAGGTAGTCCGCCATGACCAACGAGGAGCACGGACGCGCGCCTCCGAGGACCGCGCCGCAGAGGCCTCCGCCGTCTGGACCGCGCCAATATAAACCAGGCGATTTCGTCACTACGCCGCGCGCGTCGCTGACGCCAGAGCGTAGGGCGTGAGTATTTGTGCAACGCCCCATAGGGAGGCGTAGTTAGCTGGGAGGAATGAACGCATGCTCATTGCATTCATAGGCCCTCCTGCCCGAGGGCTGTTTCCTGTCCCATCCCTCCCAACGCCCCGCCCCCGAAGGCTCTTGGCCCATTCAATTAAGTTTTGTTTCCACTTTCGCGAAAAGCTCCTCCCCCAAATAAAGACACATTATCCACTGAAGTGTTGAAAAGACGTGCTTGTCATTCTTAATAAACAACTAGAATAAGAATACATAAGAGAAAGAGTGGTATCTTTATATGATACACGAGTGTATGTTACAAGAATTCCATCAGGCACAGGAGCCTCAGGTTTAAGGCCTCAATGTTAGGCCAGGGGAAGAAAAAAAAAAAAAAAAAAAAAAGGCAGGGTAAAGTTTTTAACATCTATGTCACTTGTCATAAAGGAGGGTGCAATAGAAATTGTCTTTAATAAAATCATAATTGAAGTTCCCCTCATTTTTCTTTCATTAAGATGCTAAGTTTATGTCTGAGCATGAAGAAAAAATTGTAGCTCCATGTAATCAGTCAAGCCTGCCAGGCCAAAGTGAAGGTCACGTGGAGATTCCCAGGAGGGTTGATCCATCAGCAGCTCCATCTTCCTTGAGGAAGGGAAGGGCCCATATTTGTCCCATAACAGTCCAAGCCCTTTCCCCATGCCCCAGACAAAAGAAAAAAAAGAGAAAGAAAAAGCCAGCCACTTCCTAGGACATCTGGCTCTCAGAAAACCCAGAGCCCCATGAACCAAGGGTTCTGCCCAGGTCCATGAAGATGGAAAGGGGCAACGTTGTCTTTTACATTTTTAACAGAAGTAGCCTGAAAAGCATTGTAACTACAATTAGAAAAAAGAAAAAAAAAAAAAAAAGAAAAAAGAAAAAAAAAAATGGAGGCCTCTTCTTTAGTGTAAAAGTCTTTGTCTGGTTTTTCCTGGATTTTTTTTTCCTAATGTGGCTGAGGCACCTCAGTGCATGGTGGTTGCGCTGGCCACGGCAATGGCTTCTTGAATTTCTCGTATAACCAGGATCCGGGTCAGCATCTGTCCCATCTGTTCTCTGCTGATAGGCTGGACTGAGTACCAAATTGGGCTGTTGGGAGCCACCACCGGCTCAGGTGTCAGGTAAAAGGTGTCATTTCGGCCTTTCACACTCTGGGGGCTGAAGAATATTCCAGTAAAAGATGGATAATAGCATAATTTTAACACTTCCAGCTTGAGCCTCCAAAATATGCATTATATGAAGAGCTCTTGAGGCAGCAGATCTGAAGGTAACACAGCTACGGAGTTCCACGGACTCTACACACCATGCCAGGAACTCACCTGGGCCAGTGTAGGTGCCAGTGACATCTGCCTCTCTCGTCCTCTATATAAACACTGTGATCAATCACTTACTGTCCTTGCCTAGTGTACCTCAGAATGTGCCCCACAAGAAACTAACATTTAAATCTACATAACAATTATAGCAGACTTCACCATCTACAAGATCTAGCTCCAGCTGTTTAATCATAACTGTTCTCTACTCCACCAATACATTTGTTACTGGGCTCACTTCCTCTGTAGTCTGTACACAGCGCTGAACCTCCTCAGTACTTAGCATACTCCATCATCTCACAAGCATTCATCCAGCAATCCCAAACGTAATGAAGGGCTATGTGTGCCAGGTCTATATTAGTACAGATGTTAAAGAAGTGAGCAGGAACAATTATTAGATAGTTCCTAACAAAGTTACACAAATACGAAAGAACTGGTAGCAGTTGAGTGCTACAGAGGAACTAGTTGGAGGCAAAGACAGGCGATCTGGAAATGCTTCCTTGGAGGAGCTGTGTCCAGTCGAGAAGAGAAAGCTTAATGCCCTTGGATGCACAGTATGGTTATGGGCCAAAAGCAGCAGGCATGAACAAGCAGTGGGAGTGCACTAGAGGTTTTGTTCATCATATAAGGATTATTTGTGGAGTAGTGAAAAACAAGTGAGGGTTTTAATCTAATAGAAATAGAAAGACCCCTAACCACAAAAGCTCCTTCTGACATTAATATGAAGAGAATATACCAAACTGCTGGGACAAGGAAAAAGAAAGTTGAAAGGAACATCCCCCATGTTGATGGCAGCAGTAACAAATCTGAGGCAGAATGGTACAGGACCATCTTCATTATGTGATTAAAAAAATAGGCTTTGCCGGGCGGTGGTGGCGCACGCCTTTAATCCCAGCACTCGGGAGGCAGAGCCAGGCGGATCTCTGTGAGTTCGAGGCCAGCCTGGACTACCAAGTGAGTTCCAGGAAAGGCGCAAAGCTACACAGAGAAACCCTGTCTTGAAAAACCAAAAAAAAAAAAAAAAAAAAAATAGGCTTTGTATTTTATACCTCCTCTATGAACAGTCAATGTTAGAGCCTGTCTCGGTGGTGCACACATATAATCCCAGCCATCTTAGGTCAAAGGCAAAGAGATCTCTTGTAAGTGGGAGACCAGCCTGGTTTACTGAATTCCAGGCTACATAGAAAGACCCTGTCTCTAAAAGAGTATCCGTCAATAGTTCAGTGATCCCCTTTATATCATAGTACTGTGTATATCACACATTCTGGCAGAGCAAACAAAAGTTATTTCTTTGGCCAGGTATGGTGGTACACACCATTACTCCCAGTACTCAAGAGGCCAAGGCAGGTAGATTCTGTTGAGGTCAAGTTTAAGGCCAATCTAGTCTAAGTGAGTTCCAGGACAGCCTGGTTTACAAAGAGACCCTGTTTAAAAGAAAAAAAAAAAAAAATCCAAACAAACAAAAAGTTATTTCTTTAGTAGTACGGGGGGTTCAATTCAGGGCACACTGGACAAGCAGTCTAACCCTGGGCAACCCCCGTCCCACTTTCCTTTCAGTATCTGTGTGAATGCTTACTTTGTATGTGCATCTTGTCATAGGGAGGCATTTTGTAGTTTTAATCTGAGAGCAAATCATTTCCAAAAGCCAAATATAAAAGTCAGATTTAGTGGTGCACACCTGTAACTCCAGTGCTTGGAAGGTAGGTGAGTGAATCCGGAATTCAAGCCCATCCTATCATCAACACACAAACACACACACACATTCACTTGCATGGTTAGTATAGAAGGCCTCCTCACCATTTGAAGAGGTAGAAATCGTATAGCTTGATGGGACACCTCAATGGATTCTCTGGATTCTCTGTCTGTTCTGCATACATGTCATCTGTAACTATTAAATAAACATGAGTTCAATATCCAGGACTCAACAGGAAGAAAGAGAAAACCGATTCCTTCCGAGTTGTGCTTTGACCTCTCGGAAGGTGGCATGTGTGCAAAGACATGCATGTGTGTGGGTGTAAACACACATAAATAACTAAAAACAAATGCATACAGGACAGACCTGGCACTAGTGTATGCAAACCTAGATCAGTAACTTTAAGCATTCAACCACCTCAACATGGAAATCCTGGGTAAAAAGGAAAGGGAGGAGGCATGGATACTGACTAGGAGGAAACAAGCTATGTTCTCTAGGGCATCCCTGATTCTATGAGAAATGTTTGGAGCTGGTCAAGGAGAAGGAAGCAGATAATCTATCCAGACAACTTCAACTTTAGATACATCCTCCGAAGGACAAAGGCAGGCAAGATAAGCAGCACTGGTTGCTGTCATTCCTGTTTCCTTTCACTACCTTTCTGGCCAGTCTGATGGATCCCAAGGGCCTTCAGATAACGGATACTCGTGCTTTTATCCTTAGGATTTGAGGGGTTCTTCTTTGTCTGTCGAAGGACCTTGGAGAAAGCCAGCTTCATGTGCTGATCTACTGTCTTCAACAGGAAGTACCTGGACCACAAGCGCAAGCAAGGCAAAAAGAGGGATGCCGGGAGGATACAATGACTTACCTTTAGCCCATCAGTGACTCAGATAAACCACTCCCTACTCCCAGGATCTGGGCAGGGCCATGTCTAAGCACATTGTCCAGAGAAAGAGCCATGTTAAAATGGATTGAAAGGGTCTGGCAAGGCTTTTGCACCTTACCATTCACTATACAAAAAAGAAGCCAAATGGACCCCAACTAGCTCACAATTTCTGAAATGTGTCAGAGGAATACAGAACTTCCTCCTGGTGTCTCCACTCTCTGCACTAGTTAGATGGTAGTAGTAGCTAAGCATGTAGTTTCCAGAACACTTACTTGGTGTTAAAGAACATGAGGGTGGTCAGCAGTGTGGAAGGGGAATGTGCCCCAAGCTGCTTGCATTCCCACAGCATCTCTTCAGTCACGTGGCTGGGCAGAACATAGCCTAGGTAGAACAGAGCACCACTGCAACAACTGGATGACAGAGGTCCACAAACACTAGGACCAGAAGAGACAAGGACTACACAGGAACACAGTCATGTTTTCCCAGACAGGATTTCTCTGTGTAGCTTTCGGAGCCTGTCCTGGAACTCACTCTGTAGACCAGGCTGGCCTTGAACTCAGCCTCTGTACTGGGATTAAAGGTGAGCACCACCACCGCCTGGATGGAAACAAGTCTTAACGGGAAATATCCCTAGGATGTGGCTAAATAATCCAGAGCTAGTTAAAGCAAAGACCCTTGGGTCACAATCAAATTTGTGGGGTAGGAACTGATAATGACTATTCGTTTTTCATTAAGTTTCAAGGTGGTACCACTGTTGCTGCTGCTCTGAAGAACCACGGGCTTCTGTGGAGAAAACAGGTTTCTATGACTGTTGACACTTAATCCCTCTACACCCATCAAAGATTATTAGGGCAAAAGGAACGTGCTTAAGGAAAGTAAACTATATAAAGCTATAACCCAAACTCTGCTTATATACTTTAAGAAGCTTAGGTCATGTTTTCTTTTCTTTAGATTTATTTTATGTATATGAGTGTTTTGCTTGTATGTATGTATGTGCATTGTGTGAACTGCCTGGTACCTGTGAAGATCAAAAAAAGATATCTGATTCCCCGGATATGGAGTTACAGATGGTTGTGAACCACTATGTGGGTGCTAGGAACTGAACCCAAGTCCTCTGCAAGAGTCTGAATTATCTCTCTAGCCCTTAGATCATATTTTCAGGGTGTTTAGGCATAGAAACTTGGAAAATATATATATCCACCATTCCTGGAAAGCAAGGCAATTTCATGAACAAAAGGGAAGGCTACATGTTTCCTCCAAAATACCAGGTATTACTCTCATACCCGAGTAAACATATAGCTACAGGGTTCAAAAGGCCAACAGTTTGAACCTGGATAAACAGTAACATGCCATCTGATTTGACCACTATGGCACCTCCATGTGTTCAAGTCTTTTAAAGATGTGCAAGTATTTGTGTACTGGGGACATGTCTAGCAGATGAGCTGACACAGCCTACTTCTCCAAGACTTTTAAGATGCCATAGTCAGAAAGTGAAGGTGGCAATTCCTAAGAGGAAGAAAAAACATTCTGCTTGATACAGTCCTCTTCCCCCGCACCCCAAACAAGGTTTCTCTATTTAATAGCTCTAGCTGTCCTGAAACTCACTTTACAAAGCAGACTGGCCTCGAACTCACGGAGATCTGCCTGCCTCTGCCTCCCAGTACTGGGATTAAAGGTATGCACCACGCTGCCTGGCCCAACAGTCCTCATTTCTATTATTACTTAAAGCACTTCCATTTCTTGAAGGCATTTCTGGCTTTTTTCTTGTTTTTTTGATTCATTGATCAAGTCTCTCCGTGATGCTTAGGCTACCCTGCAATTCAGTATGTACCCCAGGCAGACCTGGAACTTACAATCTTACCATCTCTGACTCAGGAGTGCAGAATTGCAGTGTTCAACTATGTCTGCCTCTGGCTTTGCTCTGGTCTATTTACTCTATACATAACAGCAAAGCAGCAATGCCAAGCACTCTCCTCTTTCCATGTATGAAGCCCTACAATATAGGATGACCGGCATAGCAGAGCCCTCTCAAGTAAACCATGGCATATTCTGTTCTTGGTGGATGACTTTGCCACCTGCCTCCTCAACAGTTTACATTTTTTTTCTTTCCTAACTTTATTCTCATCTATGCAATTAAAAGGGATTTTAATAGGCTGGGTGGTGATGGTGCATCCCTTCAATCCCAGAAGCACTCCAACGGCAGAGGCAGGAGGATCTCTATGATCCATGACAGCCTGGTCTACAGAGTGAGTTCCAGGACAGTTAGAGCTACACAGAAAAGCCTTGTGTTGTAAGCCAAAAGAGGACTTTAATACCTAAGAACCAGGACTTCTCAGCATTTCTTCTGAGTTCCAGGATAGCCTGGTCTACATAGTGAGCTCCAGGGCATCCAGGGGTACATAGAAAGACTATCTCAAAACAAAGAACAACAAACAAAAAAGCAGTCCTAAACAAAAAAAAAAAAACAGTTAAATGCTACAGAATAAATGAGACCAGCATGAGCTACATATGACCTTGTCTTTTATTTATTTTTATTATATGTGCATTGATGTTTTGCCTGCATGCATGTCTGTATAAAGATGTCAGATCCCCTGGAATTTGAGTAACAGACAGTTACTCAACTTACAACAGTAAGCTGCCATGTGGGTGCTGGGAATTGGACCCAGGTTCTCTGGAAGAACAGCCAGTGATCTTAACTGCTGAGCCATCTCTCCAGCCCCTAAGACCTTGTCTTAAAGAGACAGTAAAGATGGTTCAGCAGTTAAGATCACTGGCTGCTTTGCCAGAGGACGAGTGTTCTATTTCCAAAAGTCACATGGTGGCTCACAATCAGCTATAACTCCAATTCTTCTTGCCTATGTGGTCATCACACATATACACACAGTACACAAGACATAATACAAAAATAATATTTAATTAAAAAAATCCAACAGGGTGGTGGCTATAGTGAGTCGAGTGACTATCTAGTATGCACAAAGAGTACAATTGCCAGCACCATCTACACTAGGGATGACAACACATACCTGTAACCCCAGAGCTTGGTGATGGAGGCAAGAGGATCAGAAACTCAGTCACCCTGCGCTATATAGTTTGAGGCTATACAGTTTGAGGCCAGTCTGGGATTTGTTAGACTCTGCCTCAAACAAACAAACAACACAAATAAAGACACACAGGAGCTTTAAATACACACTGCTAATTGAAAAATGAATCACAAGAAGGATAAATAAGTCATCCCAATTGGGCCATGATGACATATTGGAGGCAAAAATAGGCAGATATGTGTGTTCCATGGCGATATATGCCCTTAATCCTAGCACTTTGGAGGCAAAGGTGGGTAAATCTCTCAAGTTCCAAGCTAGCCAGGACTCACAACACAGTGAGACACTGTCAATCAATCAATCAATCAATCAATCAATCAATCAATCAATCAAAGCATCAGTAGCAGCAGTGGAAGCAGCTATGACATTCTAGGAAAGGCAAAATTATGGAGATATTAGAAAACTATCAATGGTTGCCAAAGGCTTTGGGGAAAGTGATAAATAAATGGGAAACAAATTTTTAGAATAAATATTTTGTAGTGATGGAGAGAGCGCAGTGGTTAGAATGCAATCTGTACTTTTAGAAGACTTAAGTTTGTTTCCTAGCAACCAACACCTTAACAATCCAGCTCTAGGGAGAACTGATGCCCTCTTCTGGTCTCTGCAGAAACATGCACAGATGTGGTGTATATACACACAAACATTCTGTATTGATACCATAATGATGGATACATGTATCCATACCTTTACCAAAACCCATTAAAGGTCTAAGAATGAGCCCTACTATAAAACCATGAGCGTTAGACAATGTGAACTTCCATTTTGGACACAGGGTTTCAAACATATACTGCAAACTGAACTTAAAACTCCAGATCATTCTTGACTCTACCTCCCAAATGCTGAGATTACAGGCATGTACCAGCACACCCAGCTTTATATAGAAATTGTCTGTAATTCCTCCTCAGTTTTGCTGGACCTCTAAAACTACCCAGGGAAAAAATATACGTAAAACAAAAATTAACTAAGATATTCTACTGAAAACTTGTATTATCATTTATTTATTTATTTGTTTGTTTTCAAGACAGGGTTTCTCTATGAAACAGGAAACAGTCCTGGCTGTCCTGGAACTCACTCTTTAGACCAGGCTGGCCTTGAACTCAGAGATCCCCCGGCCTCTGTCTCCTGGGATCTCAGAGGCGTGTACCATCACTGCCTGGCGAAAACTTGTATTCTTTTGACATAAATATTATCCAGGATGCTAGCTTTGGATAAATCCATAGTTATATTCTATAGACACAATGGTTCATAATTTTTTCTTTTGAATCAGGGTCTTGACATATAGCTTAATCTGGCTTTGAATTCAAGATCATCCTATCTCAGCTTCTGAATGTTGAGAAAGCAATCAGTAGGGCAGTTAAAATTTTTTTTTGTTTTGTTTTTGGAACTCACTCTGTAGACCAGGCTGGCATGGAATTCACAGAGATCTGCCTACCTCTGCCTCTGGAGAGCTAGGATTAAAGATGTGTGCCACCACCACCTGGCTTGCTTTTTTAAAAAAATTAAAACCACTCAGAGCCTTGAAGGCAGGGAAGGATTGACTAGGTCAACAGGATCTGATGTTACAGACAGGGAACTCACAGAAATCAGCCTGCCTCTGCCTCCCAATTGCTAGGATTAAAGAAATGGACTACCATGCCTGCCTATCTGAAAAACAAAACTTAGGGGGTGGAAGAGATGGTTTGATGGTTTAGAGCAGAAGACCTGGAATCAATGTCCAGCACCCACATGGTTGACAACCATTTGTATGTAATTTCAGTTGCTAGGCCAGCAGAAGGCACTGGATTCCTTGGAACTTGAGTTACAGATGGTTGTAAGCTACCATGTGGGTGCCAGGACTTAGAACCTCGGTCGTTTGCAAGAAACAAGTACTCTTAACCACTAAGCCATCTCTCTAGCCCCTGAAAAATACATTTTAATAATCAGTAATGATAATTCCATGTTTGCTTTATTCACTTAGCTTTTTTTCTCAGATAATGGTGTCACAATTCTGCCCACACTGGCCTTAAACTTTTTGCTTTTTGATACAAGCAATCTTCCTGTTTAGCCTTCCTACAAGTACATTCTATTACTCCTGGCTATAATTCTTTTTGTTTCTCAAGATAGGGTCTCTCTGTGCAACTGCTGTGGCTGTCCTAGAACTCCCTTTGTAGACCAGGCTGGCCTCGAACTCATGGAGATCTGCCTGCCTGCCTCTGCCTCCCAAGAGCTGGGATTAAAGGCTTGTTCCACCACCATCCAGTTATAATTCTTTCCTTAAGATTTATTTGTTATGTATACAGTGTTCCGCCTGCATGCCAGAAGAGGGCACCAGATCTCATTACAGGTGGTTGTGAGACACCATGTGTTGCTGGGAATTGAACTCAGGACCTTCAGAAGAGCAGCCAGAGCTCTTAACCTCTGAGCAATCTCTCCAGCCCCCCGGTTATGATTCTTATTTTGATTAATAAATTTGGACAAGAAGAAAAGTTGTTAGTAATCACACCAGTTCTGGACGCCCCCAGTGTTACACACTGGGGTCAGCAGAACTCTCTGTTGAACAGTGTTCCTTTCTTATTAGGGAAACCATCAGAGACTCAAACTGCTGCTTGTCCCTTTCCCCCACATTATAATTGCAGCCAGCCAAAGTCGCTACCTATGTTTTTGTTTTGATTGGGTTTTCTTGTAGTTGCTTTTGTTTTTGAGATGCTACCTATGTTTTTGTTTTGATTGGGTTTTCTTGTAGTTGCTTTTGTTTTTGAGATAAGATCTTTCTATGTAGCCTTGGCTGGCCTGGAACGCAGACAGATCCACCTGTCTCTGCTTCCTGAGTGCTGGTGTTCACCACACCAACTTAGCTACCTATCTTCTTAAAGTCCAAGTGGAGGATGGGAGACAGGGTTCAGTGGTTAAGAGCATGGACTGCTCTTCTGGAGGACCCAGGTTCAATTCCCAGAACCCACATGACAGCTCACAATTCTCTGGTCACAACACTCTCACACAACAGATACACATGCAGGCAAAACACCCACATACATTAAAAAGAAAGAGAGAGAGAGAGAGACAGACAGACAGACAGACAGAAGGAGGAGAAGGAGGAGGAGGAGGAGAAAAGGAAGAAACTCAAGTAGAAAAGAAGGAAATTCAAAGACAAGGGAAACTCTTACCAAGCGGAGTGACCCGGGGCTGGACATCCTTCAGAACTTCATGCAACCACTCCGTGAAACGAACATAGTAAAGATCAGAAAATATGTCATCTACTCTTCCATTTTCAAAAAGATACTAAAAGAAAAGTAATTGACAAATGTTACCAGTAGTCTCTTAAATAAAATCTTTGGAAAAACATTTTTTCACTACTACCAACCACTTCCTTACCCTAATCATTCTCTCCAATAAAAAAAGGTATTAGATCAGAATTATCCAGCTGGTGTTATTTCCACAGCATACCTCGAATCACATGAATACATCTTTATGTTTCTGAGAGCTGAATTAATGAGGGATCTTTTGTGAATACTATCCATATAAACAAGGCACTGTAGCAAAAAATCTTGGAGGTGGGAACTGGAGACATGGTTCAGCAGTTAAAAGCACTTACTGCTCTTACAGAGGACCCAGATTCAGTTCCCAGCATCCACACAGCCCCTACTGCTTACACACAGTGCCCATACATACACAGAGGTACTCACACATACACACGAAATAAAATGACTCTTAAAAATCACGAATAGAATCGGGAACTGGAGGTGGCTCAGCTGTTAAGAGGACTGAATGTTCTTCAGGGAACCTGGATTGAATTCCCAGCATCCTCATGGCAACTAATAACTGTCTGTAACTCCAAGATCTAACACCCTCACACAAACATACATGTAGGCAAAACACCAATGCACATAAAATAAATCCAAAAAGAAAAAAAAAATCACGAATAGAAGCTGGACATGGTAGTGCATTCCTTTAACTGCAGCACTCAGGATGCAGAGGCAGGTGGATCTCTGTCAGTTTAAGCCTAGCCTGGTCTACAAAGTGAGTTCCAGGACAGGTAGGGCTGTTACAGAGAAACCACATCCCCAAAAATAAATAAATAAATAAATAATTTTAAAGAAGGGACAGAGGTGGGTAGTGGGTAGGCGTGATACCAACACATGCAAATCTTTTTCTCTATTTTTTTAAAATTTGGCTTATTTTTTTTGAGTTAGAGACTGATTCTGTCACCTTGGCTGGCCTACAATTTACAAAGTAGAACATACTGGCCTTGAACTCAGAGATCTATCAGCCTCTGCTCCCCACAACCTTGCTGGGAATTAAAAGCAGATACTACCATGCCCATCTTTAATTTCGTTTAGATTTATGTGTATAAGTGCTTAATCTATACATATTTATGTGTACCACATATATGCCTGGTGCCCTCAGGGGTCAGAAGGAAGCATTGGATCTTCTAGAACTGAAGATAGGGATGGCTGTGAATCACCACGTAGGTGTTGGGAACTGAACACTGGTCCTCTGTAAGAGCAGTAAGTACTCTTAGCTACTGAACCATCTCTCCAACACATGTAAGTCTTTTAATTTCCTTTTCTATAAATGGATATTACTACACTAGACTACCTGATATGACTAGAAGCAGCATATGAGGTAACTCAGGTAGTTACAGGTTAGGACCAGAAGGAAAGGAATAAACTAGAAGGCTAACTGTTCTCAGAGCCAGTCAATACAGTGAGCTCCAACAGAAAAACAAGCCTTCTGCCATCATACTGTGGAATCCTACTCTGGAGTCTTGAATGGGAAGAAATCTACCTCTGCTCCCCCAAACTGCCAATCTGTAAGTCTCTGCTATTCTGAAAAACCAGAGGTTTGTATACCATTTTAGCCATACTCCTTCAAACAATTGTTTTGTATTAATGTAAGGTACAATAAAAGCTATATTCGAGCACCAGATTGAGTAACTTTATAAAATAAACTACGCACTTACTTTAAGAAAATATAATAAATAAATGATTTTCACTTAAGAAAAAAAAGTTAATCACTAAATACTTTCCACCATCAATTCTGGGGATGAAATTCAGGTCACTAGGCCTGGACAGCAAGTACTTCCAAGGACTGAGCCCCTTTACTAGCCCTCATGGTTATCTAGGTGGCAGAATTATACATACTTATTTGCATATATTCTTTTCTAAAGTGAACACACAGGCATTAAAAAAAAAAAAAAAAAAGGCAGGATCTATATAGCCTTGGCCAGCAGGAACTCACAAAGACCCCGACTGCTGGGGTGACAGGTGTGTTGTATTGTCCTGTTATCCCTTCTTGTCATTTTCCTAAATTAATGTGAAAGCATCCAATAGGAACACAGTTCAAACAAGTTCCTGTCAAGATCGCTTCCTACCTTTTGTATACACAAGAAAATGTAGTAGAGCACGTCTGGGTCATAGGGTTCACCTTCTCCATTTCGAGCTTCCCGTGTCATTAAACAGAGGCCATAATTCAATTCGGCCACAGCAGAGGAGATCAGATCTTCTTGGAATCGTAGCAACTGGCGCCCTGTGACATAAGTCCTAAGGGTGAATGGGAGTCCTGGCAATAGTGATGTCTTAATTGGTTGTTCACACTGCTAAAAGGAGGGCTCAGAGACAATACTGCCCAACAGAGCCTGGGCGAGGAGTGGCCATTTGCATCTGTAATCAGAACTGTTCTATTAATTCAGTAACATATGCTGTTACACTATTACACCAATAGGTTTCCTTTCACTAAGGGCCAAGAAATGAAAACAGAAACCCAGAAACCACACTCTAATATGAGCAAGTAAATCAAGACAGGCTCTAAACACAACTCACTGGCACTTGCCAGTTCTTCCCAAAATCCCTTCTTCCTTGGTCTTTTGTTGACTCTAGAAACCCACATATCTAAAAATCTGGTCTTGGGCAAATCCCACAAATCCTGCTCATTTCACAGGGTGAAGACTACATCCTCTTCATCATAACACAAAAAATACTTCCAAGCATATTCTCTAGTCCTCAGAGCCAGAGATGCTATATGCCTGCCATTCTGTTTTTCTTCTACTTAAACTTTAGACACATCCCAGCCTCCCCTGCCTCCCAAATACTCACTCCCAATGGGGGCCAGTCTGTTTTGAGCATCTTTCTCTAATTCAGCATTCTTGGTCTGAGCCCAGTTTTTCCATACTTCAAGCCCTTCTTCTGGCTTCAAAGAATTTGGAAGTAAAAGTTCTGGTGAAGGCTGTGGTTGTGACTGTGGCTCAACTTCAGCAACCTGTACAGTTTGCGCCTAGGAGACAGAAACCATCAGAATATGTTAACATTGTTTTTCATTAGGTCCTTTAATACAAATGTCAGAAAAATGAAATTTTTTTTAGATTTATTTATTTATTATGTATACAGTGTTCTGTCTGCATGTATGCCTGCAGGCCAGAAGAGGGCACCAGATCTCATTACAGATGGTTGTGAGCCACCATGTGGTTGCTGGGAATTGAACTTAGGACCTCTGGAAGAGCAGTTGGTGTTCTTAACCTCTGAGCCATCTCTCCAGCCCCAGAAAAATGAATTTTTGTTCTTTTTTTTTTCATTTTTCGAGACAGGGTTTCTCCGTGTAAGCTTTAGTGCCTGTCCTGGATCTCACTCTGTAGCCCAGGCTGGCCTCAAACTCACAGAGATCCGCCTGGCTCTGCCTCTCGAGTGCTGGGATTAAAGGCGTGTGCCACTGACGCCTGGCCAGAAAATGAATCTTAACTGCTCGTTCAATTGGGAAAAATAAAAGCCAACTCCTTTTGCTGTCCTATTTTTCACACTTTGGAGAGTTTAATCTTACTGCACAAACAGCAATGGCAGCAATATAACTGGACCAATACAATGTTTCTCAGCTCTGACTCCACCAGTTCTCATTTAAAATTTTTGTTATATTTTTAAATTGTGTGCATGTGTATGTCTATGTGTGCCCTCGGTGTGCCTGTGAAGGACAGAAAACAACTGTGGGAGTCAGTTCTTTCTCCATGTGGTTCAAAGGGACTGAATTCAGGATGACAGGCTTGGAGAAAGCGCTATTACCCACTAAGCCATTTTGCTAGCTCTTGATTCTCATTGAAAAACACTAATATAAACCAAGCATGGCAATACATGATGTACTGCCAGTACTTTGGAGGCAGAGGCAGGGTTGCAGGGTCACCTCAAGTTTGAAATCAGCCCAGGCTTTATGGCAAATTCAAGGCCAGCTAAGGCTATAAGGAGGACTTGGTTTCCAAAAACCAAACCAAACCAAAAAAAGAAAAGTGGGTAGTGATGGTGTACACCTTTAATTTCAACACTTGAGGCAAAGGCAGGCAGATCTGATTTCAAGGCCAGCTTGGTCTACAAAGCAAGTTCTAGGACAGCCAAGGAGAAACCTAGAGAAACATTCACAGAGAAACTTCTCCCAAAAAAGACAAGAAAAAGAAACATACATGTCAAAGAAAACAAAAAAACCTACAAGGTCAATACCTCAAATTGCCCTAGAATCTCTCCAAAGTGTAGAGTCCAAGTTTCAGTTTTTTAAAAACTCCCTAAGGGGCTGGAGAGATGGCTCAGTGGTTAAGAGCACTGGCTGCTCTTCTAGCTACCTCTTCTAGAGGTCCTGAGTTCAATTCCCAGCAACCACATGGTGGCTCACAAATATCTGTAATGAGATCTGGTGCCCTCTTCTGGCATGCTGGCATACATGCAGGCAGAACACCATATACAAAATAAATAAATCTTTAAAAACTCCGTTAAGTAAAAAGATTTTCAAACACTGCTTCAAAAATTCACTTAGGCATTCACTTCAAAAATTCACTGTGCAAATCAAACACTTAGGCATTTTATTAAAATGTCTACAAAGTGACTGAAAACATCTAGGTTGGGACCTAAGAAGGCCACATATCTAACAAACTCCCAAGTAGAAACAAAGTTGCTAAACTGTAGATTACATATCCAATTCCAAAAGTGCAGAGTTGGGATTCTGAGAATTTAGTTGCAAACCTGCTGGTATAAATCTGTAATTCCAGCAGTTGGAAGACAGGAAAAGAAAGGGGAGGGGAAGATAAAGATAGCTACATTGTGACTTTAAGGCTAAGTGGGTTAAATAAGACTGTTATCAACCAAAAACAAAACAAAAAAACCTCAGTTCTACCTTAAAAATCACCTAAACTGGTAGAAAAACACCCATATCTGGGCCCTATTTCCAGACTATAATTTGAGTGGTCTTCAATGATGAAGGACTGGAATCAGCACTGGTGCTTGGTTTACCACTTATGAAACCCTAGAGTCAGTCTTCAGCACTTCAGGAGACAGGGTATATACAAGTATAATCCCGCCTGTAATCCTACAAGTGTAAAGATACAAGTTCCAGAAACCCCCTCCCTGATGAGATGGGCATGATCCATGCATACGATTCCCAGCATTCTAAGTTTCAGGCCGGCTTCAAACTCTTGATCTTCCTGCTTCAGCTTCCTAAGTATGCTGGAATAACAGGCATGTGACACCATGCCAGCTTCAAGTTCTACTTTGCATGATTTTTCTCAAATTACAGTCTCTCCCCCAAGAATATAATCCATTTTCTTTTCTTTCCTCTTCTTCTTTTTTTTTTCCCTGTGAGACAGGGTTTCTCTATGTAACTCTGGCTGTCCTGGAACTCACTATGTAGACCAGGCTGGCCTCAAACTCAGATTCGCCTGCCTCTCCTCTCCAACCCGTCAGTGCTGGGACTAAAGGGATTTGCCACCACTAAAGATAGGAGGCACTATTTTAAAATAATGGGTACATCAATGGTTTTGCAGCTAAGTTGTATACGACAAGTGACATCTGTGTTAGTTACAATTCCCAAAAGGTTAAACAACAGATCCCTAATATAGGTTCTTAGCTGTTACAACATATCTAAGTCTGAACAATGCTTCCTAAGCAACCCTATCAGACCCTTACACCCAAATACCCCTAAAATCTGAAGAATATCAAGCAATTTCTTTTGTTAAATGATTTGTTTTTATTTTATGTTTTGCCTGCATCCATGTCTGTGTGAGGATGCCAGGTTCCCTGGAACTGGAGTTACAAACAGTTGTGAGTGCTGGGAATTGAACCTCAAGTCCCCTGGAAGAGCAGTCAGTGCTCTTTACTGTTGAAACTATCTATCCAGCCCCAAATATCAAGTAATTTCAATTGAAGGCAAAATTGTTTCTACATGCTTGAAAAATTTGCTCACACACACAACTTCAACAATATACTTTTTCCTGAGACATGGTTTATGTATCCCTGGTTGTCCTAGAACTCATTCTGTAGACCAGAGGCTAGCCTTGAATTCACAGAGATCTATCTGCCTGTCTCTGCCTCTTGAGTGCTGGGATTAAAGGCGTGCGCCACCGCCAGGCAATGAAATACTTGTAACAGCGAGATAAAACCTAAGTGTTCATGGCATTGTGTTGAGACTCAAAAAAATGTTCCATGTTTGGGTAGGATTCTACCCTAAAGGAAATCTGCATAAATGCCATGATAGAGTACTTGTCTACATTCACAAACCCCTGGGACCAGTCTTTAGCACTACTACTCACCCAAACAAACAAACAAAAAAGTTAAGAGCTGTTTAGTATCATGGGAAAACTTAAAATGAGGGGGGAACTGGTTAGTTTAGAAAATTAGACTACACTCATCCAAGTGGACTACATAGGAAATACATATTTACTAAAACTAGAACATTTGATGTTTTACTCACATAGGTCTATAGTTACATATATGAAATAAAGTTATGAATACAAATATATATGGATAAATATAAAAAATATATATGAAATAGACACAAAAAGGGTTAAGTGTACAAGACAGTCATGGAAATAAACTTGTTTTCTCTCTATTCAAACTATAATAGAGCTAAGTATGTAGCACAGTGGTATGCACATGCTTGACACAAAAAATGAAAAAAAGTAGTAAGTAGTGATCAAAGTTGACTAACTGATAAACTAGTATGTTCTGTATTTTCTCTCTGAGTATTTTTCAAAAGTTTTTTTTTTTTTTTTTTGGTCTTTTAAGACAGAGTTTCTCTGTGTAGACCAGGCTGTCCTTGAGCTCACAGAAATCTGCCTGCCTTTGCCTCCTGAGTGAGTTACGGGACTAAATTTGTGTATGACCATACCTGGCTCAAAAGATTTCTTGTGTGCTCACATGAGTACATACACCTGACACCTGTGTGCATACCTCAGCAGGGCAGGGAAGACAAGAGGGTTCTACTCTATCATCACTCCTAAGTTTCCTGCCTTGAGACAGGTTGTCTCATTGAACTTCAAGTTCATCAGTTTGGACTAGGTTGGTCAGCCAATGAGTTCCTAGAACTCACTTGTCTCCCAGTATTGAAGTTACAGACATTTTGAGATGCCTAGAATTGTATGTGGGTGCTGAGCAATTTCCCCAACCCATCTTTTCTTTTTAATTTAAGTTCTACTTTATGCATATGGGTGCTTTGTCTACATGCATGTCTGCTCACACACTACATGTGTGCCTAGCATCCTTATGAGGCCTGAGGGAGGCCAGATATGGTGGTGCACACCTTTAATTCTGACACTCAGAAGGCAGTGGCAGGAAGACCTCTGTGGGTGGAGGTCAGCCTGGTCTATATACCGAGTTCCAGGACAGCCAGACTATCTAGAGACCCTGTCTCAAAAACAAACAAACAGGCTGGGCGGTGGTGGCGCACGCCTTTAATCCCAGCACTCGGGAGGCAGAGCCAGGTGGATCTCTGTGAGTTCAAGGCCAGCCTGGGCTACCAAGTGAGTTTCAGGAGAGGCGCAAAGCTACACAGAGAAACCCTGTCTCGAAAAACCAAAAAAAAAAAAAAAAAAAACAAACAAACAAAAAACAGAAAGAAGGCTGAGTGGTGGTAGCTCACACCTTTAGTCCCGGCACTTGGGAGGCAGAGGCAGGCGGATCTCTGTTGAGTTCAAGGACAGCCTGGTCTACAGATTGAGTTCCAAGACAGGCTCCAAAGCTACAGAAAAATCCTGCCTTAAAAAAAAATAAAAATAGCTGGGTGGTGGTGGCACATGCCTTTAATTCCAGTACTTGGGAGGCAGAGGCAGGCAGATCTCTGTGAGTTCGAGGACAGCCTGGACTACAAAGTGAGTTCCAGGAAAGGCACAAAGCTACACAGTGAAACCCTGTCTCGGAAAAAGAAAAAAAAAGAAAAAGAAAAAGAAAATAAGGGTGGGGGGGGGGCAGAAGGGGGCAACAGATGCCATGGAAGTCAAATTATAGACAGCTGTGAACTACCATGTGGGCACTGAGAATAAACGCAGATCCTTTAGAAGGGGAGCCAGAGCTCTTAACTACTGAGCCATTTCTCTAGACCTTTTTAATTAAAAAAAAATTATTTGGGGTTGGAAAGATGGCTCATCGGTTAAGAGCACTGGCTACTCTTCCAGAGGTCCTGAGTTCAATTTCCAACCACATGTTGGCTCACAACCTTTCGTAATGAGATCTGGTGCCCTCTTCTGGCCTGCAGGCAGACATACAGGTAGAACACTATATACATAATAATTTTTTTAAAAAAAGATTTATTTATTTACTATGTATAAAGTCTTCTGCCTGCAGGCCAGAAGAGGGCACCAGATCTCATTACAGATGGTTGTGAGCCACCATGTGGTTGCTGGGAATTGAACTCAGGACCTCTGGAAGAACAGTCAGTGCTCTTAACCCCTGAGCCATCTCTCCAGCTCCCCTTTCTGTGTTTTCTAACATTTCTGTAATGGAAGAATGGTTCACAAATATTCCTTTTATCCCTAATTAAAAACTGTGGAGTCAGGCAGTGGTGGCACATGCCTTAATCCCAGCACTTGAGAGGCAGAGACAGGTGGATCTCTAGTGAGTTCAAGGCCAGCCTGGTCTACAAAGTGAGTTCCAGGACAGCCAGAGTTCCACAGAGAAACTTTGTCTCAAAAAAACGACAAGAAAAAGGAAAAAAAAAAAAACAAAAAAAAACAAAACCCAAAAAACTGTGGAAGGGGGCTTGAAAGATGACTCAGCAGTTAACAATTAACAACCATCTGTAACTCCAGTTTCAGGAGATCATACAACCTCTTCTGGCTTCCACAGGTAATACACATACATGGTGCAGAGACATACATACTGGCAAAACACCCATATACATAAAATAAAATAATCAATCATCTGTGCCAAAGTGGACCACACCTTTAATCCCAGCACTTAGGAGGCAGAGGCAGGTAGATCAAGTTCGAGGTCAGACTGGTCTAAGAGCAAGTTCTAGGACAGCCAGGGCTAAATAGAGAAACTGTGCCTCAAAAAGACAAAAAAAAAAAAAAGGTAAAAATTTAGACATGACTTAAGAACAACAAAAACTCACAACTGAAGCCAGATGCAGTGGTATACACATCTGGTCTCAACTACTTGAGAGGCTGAGAACCAGTTAAACGCAGATCAAACCAGCCTATGCAATCAATATTCCTACTCCAAAAGAAACCTGGATAAAACTAGTTTCTACAGACAATGTCTGGAAAGTACTAAGAGTAAAATGGATGTAGAAACAGATGGAAGTGAAAATGAGGTCAAAGGAGGAAGGTTTCACTATAAAAACAGGAAATATGAAGGCTTTCAGAAAAAGCATGGTTCTCCCTAATCCACTGTAACTGGGGAGCTCACATTTTCTCACCAGCTCTTCTTTAGGTTCAAATTACAGCACCATTGTCTTCCCCATGAGCTATTACATGGGATAAACATGGAAGAAATGGGGGCTGGAGAGATGGCTCAGAGGCTAAGCACACTGCCTGCTCTTCCAGAGGTCCTGAGTTCAATTCCCAGCAACCACATGGTGGCTCACAACCATCTGTAATGGGATCTGGTGCCCTCTTCTGGACTGCAGGGATACATGCAAACAGAACATTGTATACATAATAAATAAATCTTTAAAAAAAAAAAAAAAAAAACATGGAAGAAATGGTCTTGTTTTGTTTTAGATGGTCTTGCTATGTGGCCTAGGCTGACCCTGAACTTGTGATCGTACTGCCTCAGTTTCTGGAGTTCTGGTATTAAACAGGTATGTACAACAGGCCAGTTGCTAATTTTTTTATTTTTGCCATTTTTTTACCTCCTTTATTTTCTGAGACAAGTTATCATTATGGAGTCCTGGATGGCCTAAAACTTGCTATATAGAACAAGCTGCCCTTGAACTCAGAGATCCACCTGCCTCTACCTCCTACGTGTCAGCATTACAGATGTGTACCCCTACATCCAGAACCTTTCAAGAGATCTACTAAGAGGTGTTGTGTTTTAGGTCTTTTAACTTATTTATACTATATTCAAAGATAAATAAAGGGAAATTCTATCTCACAAGCTTGTCCACCATAAATTTACTACCTGTGTGCTAAATTAACAGTTCAACGACAGGTGTTAATATAAGTAACCCAGAGACATATATAACACTTTGGGGTCTTCCATTCATCATAGCATTAACTTAACTCATCATAAAAAGATAATTACAAAGAAATATTATAGGCATCCCATCCCAAATACTCTCTAAAAACTACAAAAGAATTACTGGTCATTTTGTTGAATTCCAAGAATGATAAACTTCTTGTCTGTTTATACAGCCTCATCTACTGCTTTTCTTCCTTCCCCCATATACTATCACTGTCAAGACAAAGAAGATGGAATTAAATAATCCACACACTATAGGTGAGTTCTATGTTACACTGGAAACCAAGGAAACAAAATGCCCTACAGATTAAGTCTCACTTACTGAACAAGTAACCTGGAGCTGCTGCTGCTGTTGGGGTGGTGGTGGTGTCTGTTCTTGTGCAGTTTGCTGTTGTGGCTGCTGCTGTGGGTCCCATATATGTACAGTCTGAGCTGTGTTCTGGTACGTGCCTGCAACGGCCTGCACAGCCACTGGAATATGGATGTTGCCATTCATGAACTGTGCTGGAAAGAGAGAGTTTGCAAGGGTCTGCACTACCTCTTCATGGGAGTTTTTCACTACAGATGTGGCGCCCACCATCTTCTCCTTGTCATCCTCCAGCTTTACAGCTGCTAGGGCTGTGGGTGAGCCACTGACGTGAACTGCGTTGTAGGCTTCCTGGGGAATGGCAATGTGGGTAATGCTCTGCTGCTGAGGGTCCCCCCGGGGCTGGGCAGAATAAACAGGGATGGTCCAAGTTTCTCCTGTAGGGCTAGTTATGGTCCCAGTGGCACTGTAGAGGTGGGCACTGTCTACTGTCAGTAAGTCTGGCCTCAAAGACACGTAACTCTGTTGCTGGCCCTGTGGAATAGCCAGCACGGTGGCCACTGGCTGCCCTGAGATGGCGTAGGACACGGTGATGGGCATGTCCACTTTGCGTTTCTTCACTGGCTGAAGGACATTGGCTGAGCCAACCCGCCGTTCCCCTTCCCGGGGTGAGCCCTGCTGGGATGGTGGTGGGGAAAGGGCACCCACGGTCTGGATTTGAATCTGCTGACCCCCAGCAAGAGACTGGCCAGCCACCAGTTGAGCCTGGATTTGTTGATGTGGGATATGCTCCTCTGGGATTTCTGCAGCCTGGATCTGCTGGGCCGCCTGCACGTGCTGCACCTGGATCTGGGCTGCTTGCAGCTGCGAGGGGCTGGGGCTCTGTAGAGATGGGGTCTGGATGGAGGGGGCTGCTGACTGCGGTGGTTGGCCCTGGATCTGCACCTGGACCTGGATGGGTTGCTCAGCAGGCTGGTGAACGGTGAACTGAGGGGAGAGCTGCTGAGCCGAGACCTGCTGTGGAGACTGCTGTACCTGCACCTGTACCTGCAGGAACAAGATTCACCAGTAAGTAAAGCAAGCAACATCCAGCTCCCAGGACCCTCTGTAATGTGACAAGGGGGACTGCATCAGTCATGGCTTCTGCAGTCACAATGCCCCAAAAAACATATGAAAATTTCCTCAGCATCACACTGAATTTACAGTGAGATATATCCATCCCAGGAAATAAGACAAAAATGATCAACAGGGATCTAAGAACAAAACATTAGAATTTTGTTCACTTTTAATTTTTTTCTTTGAAAATGTGCCCCTTTGGTTTTTTGCACATTAGTAGGGTGGTATAAGCATATACTTAAGTATATGTTTAAATTTTTTATTAGAGTTGGAGTGTTGGCTCAGTGGTTAAAAGTACCGACTGCTCTTTCAAGATCTGAGTTCGAATCCTAGTACCTAGATGGTGGCTCACAACCCTTTTTAACTTTAATTCCAAGAGATCTGACGCCCTCTTCTGTACTCCAAGAGCACCACACAGATATACATGTAGGCAAAACACCTATACACATAAAATTAAAGTGTCAAATCATATTGATTAAAATTTTTTGTATGGCATGAGGAGAAAAAAAGAAAATCTAGCAGCATCCAATTATCTGGATCAAATCTAACTCCAGATCTCAGTGAGTTAGGAGGCCAGCCTGACCTACACATGTGCACATATACACACAAACTAATTAATCATGAAAACAGATTCTGCTAAGTGTCATCGTGCACATTTGTAATCTCAGCACTTGGGAAGCTGATACAAAAGGACAGTGAGTTTGAGACCTAACCCCAACCAACAATAACAAAAACATACTACAACTGAGTTAAACATTATGTTATTTTATAACTATAAAACTGCTGTATAAACCGAATTTTATTTTGGGGATGTAGCACAGTTGGTAGACTGCTTGCCTACCATGCACTAAACCCTAGGTTTAATCCCTGTTGCAAGGTATAAACTGGGTAGTGCACACCAGCACTCCCAGCACTTTGTGGAGTAAGAAGGATCAGGAGTCATGACTATATACTGAGTTTTAGGCTAACTTGTGAAACATGAGACCCTGTCTCAAAAACAAAACAATAACCACCACCACAAAGGCTAGAGATATTGCTCAGCTTGTCAGTTGGTAGAGTTCTTGCTTAAAATTTGAGATGAACTGAGTACAGGGGTCTGAGATCCTAGCACTTGGAAGCAGAAGTTTATCCTTGGCTACACACAGAGATTGAAATCTACCTGAGGTACATGAAACCCTGTCTCAAAAAAGAAAACAACTAAACTAGTTAGTGACTGAAATACATTTGCTTTGGTAGTCTTTTATGAAAGGGGAGGAATAACTTAAAGGTCAGCTACACTGGGTGTGATAGTTCACACCTAAAATCTTTGCACTTTGCAGACAGAGGCAGAGGATATATAGTGAAATCTTATCTCAGTAAACAGCACCACCAAAACGTAGAATCTAGCATGTATAAAATAACTGTTACATTATTATTACTCAGCCAAAGTCTGAGTCTGATGAAATTCAGAAATATAACTAAATGAAATTATGTTTTCAAGCATTTATATATACAATTTTATTTTATGGTTTTTGTTTTTGTTTTTTGAGACAGGGTCTCTCTGTGTAGCTTTGGAGCCTTTCCTGGAACTCACTCTGTAGCCCAGGTTGGCCTTGAACTCAGAGATCTGCCTGGCCCCACTTCCAGAGTGCTGGGATTAGAGGCGTGCACCACCATCCCTGGACACAATCTTATTTTTTTTTTTTTTTTGGTTTTTCTTGACAGGGTCTCTCTGTGTAGCTTTGCGCCTTTCCTGGGACTCACTTGGTAGTCCAGGCTGGCCTCGAACTCACAGAGATCCGCCTGGCTCTCTGCCTCCCGAGTGCTGGGATTAAAGGTGTGCGCCACTACCGCCCGGCCAATCTTAATTTTTTTTTTTAAGATTTATTTATTATGTATACAGCATGTGTGCCTGCAAGCCAGAAGAGGGCACCAGATCTCGTTACAGATGGTTGTGAGCCACCATGTGGTTGCTGGGAATTGAACTCAGGACCTCTGGAAGAGCAGTCAGTGCTCTTAACCTCTGAGCCATCTCCCCAGCCCCCTTTTAATTTTTAAAAAATTTATTATCCACCAGTTGAGAGTCAGAGGAAGGCAAATCTTTGTGAGTTCAAAGCCAGCCTGGTCTACAAAGGGAGTTCCAGGACAGTCAGTACTGTTACACAGAGAAATCTAGTATCAAAAAAACAACAACAAAAATAAATAAAATTATCATCATGAGTATATGATGTGGGGAAGGGAAGATGCATAAATGCACACATCTGAAAGTAGTAGGTCATCAGTCCCTAATCTTGTATTTTGTCACAAATCTGTAATCCTAGCTATTCAGGAACCTGAAGTAAGCAGATCCATCCAGCTTGGCCTACAGAAGAAGTTCAAGGCCTGCTCAAGCAACAGAGTGACAGTTTCTCTCAAATTAAAAAGTAAAAAATGGGGGCTGGAGAGATGGTTCAGTGGTTAAGAGCCCGACTGTTCTTCCGGAGGACCCAAGTTCAATTCCCAACAATTCCCAACAACCACATGGGGGCTCACAACTATTTCTGACTCCAGTTTCAGGGGATCTGACACCCTCACACAGACAAATATGCATCCAAAGTAAAATGAAACTCAACCACAATACAATGCCAAAAAAAAAAAAAAAAAGAAAAGAAAAAAACCCACAGAACTACCTGAAGGAGACTACTGTTTCATCTAAAGACTCTCAAAAAAGAAAACCTATGCCTCCTCAGTCATACATTCACTCCTCCATTTTGAATAAGCTTAATGTCAGCACTCTCTGAGGCTAATAAGGTAGAAAATGCCAACCTAGAAATCTACAGGTGATCAAGATTTGAGATGTACAAATTAAATGAAGATCACCATACCTCAGGTTTTAATTTTAAAGCAAGTTCCAAATGCTACACTTTCCATAATGAGCCAAAACTAGCGTTCCTGTGCTTTCTGTTCATTCTGTCACAGAAAGGAAAGTCTCAGTCACATGAAAGTGTTACATTCAAATTCAGTGCTAGCCTCTACTTTCTGTATTGTTCAAGCTCTTTAAACCAAACAATAAAGTTTTTATAGTTTACAGCAGCTAGAAATAGTGTCAATCCACATTAAATATGAAAGATTCCCCACCTTGGTAAAATAACTTCCAACATGTCTAACATCTGTATAGGTATATTGTAACTAACCAAACTGTGAGAGAAAATAAAACTTTAGTAACAGGTTCCACCTAAATATTTCCTCACCTGAACCTGCTGAGGCTGCTGAACCTGGATCTGCTGTTCTTGCTGAGTTTGTGGTTGAACACTGGTTGTGACTGGACAAGCAAGTTCAAGCAAAGACCCAGCCACTTCAGTACTGTCTGTGTAAATGCAGTTCCCACCCTGTTGGTACACCATGGTGGTGGTGGCGGTCTGCTGGAACTCCTGAAGAGCTTCTGGTCCCTTAGAAGCCAGCGAGTCCAGAAATTCCTTCATCCTGTGTTGCGGGACAGACCTCGCCTTCACTCGGATGTACTCTTCAAATGAGATGGTGTTCTCCAGAGAATTATTCATATTGCAGAATCCTTAGGGTTCCTAAAATTAAAATAGACAATCAACATTTTGCTATTGTTAGCGTACTGTTTTATTTTTTCATTAATTAATTTATTGAGAGAGGAGCATGCACATGCCAAGGCATGCGTGTGGAGGTCAGAAGACCACCCACTTGAATTGGTTCTCTTTTCCCACCATGTGGGTCTCAGGGATCAAACTCAGGTCATCAGGCTTGGCAATAGGTGGCTTTATATGTTGAGCCATCTTACCAAGCCTATTGTAAGAGAATGAGAATGGAATATATGTGTGTATACATACATACAAACACACACACACACACACACACACACACACACACACACACACACACACACACACACACGTATACATATATATTCCAAAGCAAACTTTTATTATACCATCTTCCCCACCCCCAAAATCAAACTTAGGATTTTTTAAAGATAGGATCTCACTATGAACCCTTGGCTGGCCTGTAACTTGCTATGTTAACCAGGCTGGCTTTAAAACCACACAGATATTCACCTGCATATTCAGAGTGCTAAGCCTGGCCTCTGTGAGTTATTTTTGTTTTTAATGTTTAGATTTCTCAGTCTTATTATTAGTAGTATGTGTACAAGATAATGTATGGGCACACGTGCCATGAAAGCATATATAGTCAGAAGACAAGTAAGTATAGTTTGTTCTGCCCTTCTACCTTTACATGGGTTCAGGGGATGAAACTCATAGGCTTACACAGTAAGTGCCTCTGACCTGCTCTGACACCCTGTCCTACAATTCTATGTAGCTCACAGTGGCTTTGAATTTAAGGTAATCCCTCTTTCTTCAGGCTCCTGAGTGCTAGGATTTCAAGCATGAACCAATATAATTTGACTACCTGTAGAAATACAGAGTTTCTCTGTATAGTTTTGGTGCCTGTCCTGGCTCTCACTCTGTAGACCAGGCTGGCTTCGAACTCAGAGATCCACCTGCCTCTGCCACCGAGTGATGGGATTAAAGGTGTGCGTCACCACTGTCCAGCCCTTCAACATTTCTTAAACCAAACTATAACACTAAAACAAAAACCAAACATATTCTTTAAGTACTGGATAGAACAGACTGAAATGACCTTCTCTATCCAGCACCAGGCCAATCACATCCTTTCTATGAAGTCAAGCATTAGACAGTAATGTTGCATGCAAAAATCACTCCCATGCCTGGTGGCACATACCTTTCTTTATTCTCAGCACTTGGGAGCCATATGAAGGCCAGATACCTAAAAGTTTGAGACCAACCTGCTCTACAAAGCAAATTACAGGCCAATCAGGTCTACAGAGTGAGACCCTGACTCAAAATGAATAAACTGTTCTCTTACCACCTCAAAAGACTACCAAACAAGGGGAGGGAGCAAGGAGCAGACTCCTACCTACTGACATGTTTTTGTTTTTTAAGACAGGGTCTCACTATGTAACTTTGGCTGGTCACTTGGCCCCTACTGACATGTTTTATTTCCACTACTATAATCTATAGTACAGAGTTATGTATGTATGCCATCTAGCAAGACCTAAGAGACAGTGGCATATTCTTTATCTCCCATTAGAAACACCAAAAAAACACTGGGCAGTAGGGGCACACGCCTTTAATCCCAGCACCCAGGAGGCAGAGGCAGGATCTCCAAGTTTGAAGCCAGTCTGGTCTATAGAGCGAGTTCCAGGATAACCAGGACTGTTACACAGAGAAAGCCTGTCTTGAAATAAAGAAACAAACACACAAAACAAACACCAAAAATCTGCTGGATTTAGTGGTGCACTCCTTGTTCACCTATACACATGTAATCCCAACACATGGCAGGCTGAGGCAAGAGAATCCCAAGTCAGAGGCCAGTGAAAACTACATGCTACATATACTAAGACACCATTAAGAACAAAGCAAAAGAAAGGAAAAGGAAAGACTAACAATCTCATTTTGCCATACACTGTTCGCATTCTTTTGCAGTTTGGCTAAAAACCTCGTCTCTAGAGCCATATACTTTATTTCATATTGCACCCTGACGTCAACACTGTGTCAACTCTAGGCAAACTAGTTGACTTCAATTTTCTTCTATTAGCACTTACCTCAGAGTTAACATGAAAGAATATGTTTGTGTAGTGCTTGGAAAAACACTTGAAAAACAGGCAGTATCATGTAATATTGACTAATTTTATTAAAATAACTAAGTGGGGCTGGTGAGATGGCAAAGTGGTTAAGAGCTGGCTGCTATTGCAGAGAAACGGTTCAATTCCCAGCACACACATGACAGCTCATAAGCACCTGTAACTCCAATCCAGGGGATCTGACAGCCTCTGTGGCAGCAGGCATACATGTGGTACATGTAAACAAAACACCCATATCCACATCAAATAAAAATAAATAAATCTAAAATAAATTGGAAGGAACTGAATAACTAAGTCACTACTAAAATTCAGAAATCCATTTTGCACACTTTTTCATCAAGTATCTAAGACAAAAACATGATCTGGGCCCAGGCAGAGCCACAATCCTATAATTCCAGTATTCAGGAAGTCAAATCAGGAGGATCAAGAGTTTAAGGCCAGGATGGGCTACATCATTCGACCTTGCCTCAAAAAACAAAAATAAGGGATGGGGACATAGTTCAGTTGGTAAAGTACTTGCTTGCCTAGCATGCACAAAGCCCTGGGTTTAGTCCCCAACACTACAGAAAAATGGCAAGAAGTTGCAGGTCTGTAACTTCAGCACTCAGGAGAGGGAGTCCAGAGAAATAGAAATTCAAGGTCATCTACAAGACCAGCAAAAGCAACTGACAGGCTTCAAAACAAAAGGGCCAATAATGGCTTAAGGGTAAAAATGCCTGTGACCTGAGTTCAATCCCCACAACATATATGATAGAAGAAAATAACTAACTCCCACAAACTGTCCTCTGACCTCCACACACACACGTGTCCTGGCATACACACACACAAGCACACAAACATGCAATAAATGAATGAGTGAATGAAAGAAAGTTTAAAAACATTCAAAAAGCCCAATGACCTATGGACACTAAGTTGACTGTCAACACTGCCTCTGCAGTATCCTCTTTTAGGCAGCCCCATCTTAAGAACAAAAGCAACCACAGATGAAAGAGTAACACAGACCAAGTGAAGTTTCTTGCCAAAAAGGGCTCTCAGTTGATCTCAAATGTCTGGAAAAGTGATTTGTTCCCCTGAGCCATCAGGCAAGAAACACTAGTCTCTTTTACTACTGAGATGTTCTACCTTATGCTACAGATTTCAGGTTTGTGGGTAATCATCTACTTTCTTCCATCTGACTCTAAAATTCCTGGCAGACAAAACTTAAATAGTTCGCATATGGCACACGCTTATATACTTTTTACATTTATAATTCAAGGTGTAACAGGAAGAGTTAAGAGTCTTTCTTCCGGGGCTGGAGAGATGGCCGAGTGATTAACAGAACTTGTTGCTCTTCCAGAGGATGTATATTCAAATCCCAGCACTCATGTCGGGCAGCTTACAAGTGCCTGTAACTCCAGCTTCAGGGGATTCAATACCGTCCTTTGACACACACCCCCCCAACACACACACAGGCAGACACATATATACATGAATAAAATTAAAGTTAAAAAGATTCTTTCTTCCTATTACATCTTTAACTCACAACCACAAAATGAACAATCTAGTTGATACACTAAGAAGTGTACTACTTTTCTCAAACTGTTAGTACACATCTTGGGAGGAATAAAAACTCTACATATACAGTGTCAACAGTGAAACCAAAGAAAAATAGACGGTCTTATGGCTATTAATTTACTGACATTATTAACATCTCTGTGGGGTGTTATATAAGTATAATATACAAATTATACTTTCGAACAAAACAATCCAATAACAATTATTTATAATAATGCATATATTGTGACTACTTTTCTCTACAAATACACAACAACATGGGACTGGAGAGATGACACAGCAGTTAACAGAGGACCTGAATTCAATTTCCACCTGCCTCTGCCCGAGTGTTGGGATTAAAGGCATGGGATACCACGCCTAGCCTGAAATTTATTCTTTTGCCCTTCTAACACATTTTTTGGGTTTTGTTTTTTTCGAGACAGGGATTCTCTGTGTTGCTCTGGCTGTCCTGGAACTCACTCTGTAGACCAGGCTTGCCTTGAACTCACAGACATCCACCTGTGTCTGCCTCACAAGTGCTATAACCATAATTTTTTTAAGACCGTCTTACCTTATAGCCCTGTTGGTTTGGAACTTGCTATATGAACCGGACTGGCCTTGAACTCACAGAGATCCTCAAGCATCTTCCTCCCAAGTGTTGGCATTTAAAAGTGTACCAACCACACCCAGCTTCAATAGATTCAAAGCAGGTTTTCAGTGTGAATGACCTGAAAATTACTGACTCACTATAGACACACAGAATGTATCAATCCTGGAACTTTCTTAAGAAGATGTACCTCATAATAAAGACCAAATAGTAGGGCTAGGCATGTTGATAAAATGCTACAGGGTTCAATCCCAAAAACTTTATAACTGGACATAGTGGTATATTAGGGAGGTTAAGACAGAAGGAGCAAAAGCACAAGGTCATCCTCAGCTACAAAGAAACTCGGGATACAGGAAACCTTGTCTTAAAAACACTCGGTATCTCACAGCAGTGGCACACACCTTTAGTCCTAGCACTCAGAAGAAGGCAGAGGCAGACAGATCTCTGTGAGTTCCAGGACAGCCAGGGCTACACAGAGAAACCCTGTCTTGAAAAACCAACCAACTGGGCTGGAGAGATGGCTCAGAGGCTAAGAGCTGGCCATTCTTCCAGAGGTCCTTAGTTCAATTCCCAGCAACCACATGGTGGCTCACAACCGTTTGTGTTCTGGTGTCCTCTTCTGGCCTGCAATATAGACATACATGCAGGCAGAACACTGTATACAGAATAAATAAATAAATCTTACAAAACAAACCAAACAAACAAAAACCCTCAATATTATATAAAGTTCACAACATGTAGGACTCTTGATT